TGTCCCCTTTCATTCTCGCGATGCTTCTTAATTGTGTTTTTCAAATTGATTTCGTTACAAAAACAATTGTGTTTTTCAATTTTTATGCTGTCAGAACCACTGCAAGGTAATTTTACGTAGTTCATGAAGTTTTGTTGAAATCGGTTGAAAATTGTAGGAAATCCGATCAATATATAAACGTACAGACACACACACACACACGCGCACGCACAATCTGCGTTTTATAATCATAAGATTAATATATATATATATATATATATATATATATATATATATATATATATATATATATATAAGGCAGGATGCGTGTGTGTGTGTGTGTAAATGCAATAGTCATAATCAAAATTTACATGCACATGCTTCAAGTTAGGGCGAAGGCCAAGAGCGAATTTGCATTTCTCAACTTCCATCGATAGTGGAAATAATCGATTCTTTCATGCTTCTACGGCAGTGTTCATGTAGTTTGCGGCCATTTTCTACCGTCCAGAGTGAGAGCCCATAGCTGGCTGCCACGAATAGGCAGGAAGATTCTATTGGCCAGCATGAGAGCCAACAGCTGCCTGACACGAATGTTAACTAGCATGCTAGCATGCAAAAGAAATCGATAGCTGCATTCGTCACAAGTGGGAAAAATTTAAATCTGCATGGCACTTTACTCCAATTGGCTCATTCGCTTGCTTAAACTCAACGTTGATTCTGATTCCGCAGAACTGGGTTGGGTGTGAAAAAGTATTTGTTGTTAACATTCTTTTTTCATTCGGTTTTTCCAGTTACGAGTCCTTTTTTAAAGCTGATCGTTTTGTGTTCATTTTGTTTAGTTCTTCCGTAACAGATTTAATGTTTAGTACAAAACTTTGAAAAATTTGCGGTGTGAGATAGGCCAGAAGTATGTAGCAACATCAGTACGGCAAAGTGCACTCCTTTAAAGGCAAGGAAGGGCAAAAATATTTTAAGTCAAGTGATAGCGATTGCTGTATGAGTCGTACGATTTTGAATCAAGCACGGGCAACGCCGGGCCATGCTGCTAGTATATCATAAAAATGGCTCAAGCACTAATATTCCATGGTTATAATTTATTACATTGGAATCGTAATCACGATCCACTACATTAGACCTACAAATTCAAAATCAATTCAGAAATCGGAAAATATAACTCCGTGTATAAAAAATAAAATTTTAGTGAGAGTGTATGTGTCGGAGTGGGAAACAAGGGTTAGACCCATTTTTTTTTTCATCTTCAGGATTTTAAGTTTAGATCATATCGTTCACCACAAATGTATACACACATTTTCTTTAATTTTAATTTACGTCAGCGAAACAGTAGCGAATTATTCATCGAAAGATGACTCATATTTATTTGTATCTCACTCATTTAAAATTTTATTTAACCCCTCTCTTTCAAACTTTTGTCAGTTAAATTTTAATCCAAACCTTCACCTTTAGGACTTCCTGTTCTTCTTTCTTCTATTACACCCTCTCTCTAAAGCTTTCATACATTTCCCTCTCACACTTGTTTCCCACTTCCACACATACATTCTCACTAAAATTTCATTTTTTATACCCGGAGTTATATTTTCCGATTTCTTTTTGAATTTGTAGGTCTGATGATTTGGATCATGATTACGATTCTAATGTAATAAATTATAACCATGGAATATTAGTCTTTGAGCTATTTTTTTAATTATATTCTCACTTTGTCCTGGACATTGAGTTCTACCTGTTTCTATCCTCTTAGGAATCATATATATATATATATATATATATATATATATATATATATATATATATATATATATATATATATATATATATGTATGTATGTATGTAAACCTGTTAAGGTTTAATCTCCCCCATTCTCTAGTATGTTACCCTTAATACTTACACTCTCTCTAAATTCTGTTTTTATTTCCGGAGTTTTTTTTTCTGTTTTCTTTTTGAATTTGTAGGTCTGATGAATTGGATCGTATTTACGATTCCAATGGAATAAATCATGACCATGGAATATTAGTGTTTAAGCCTTTTTATTATATCCTTACTCTGTCCTGGACATTGAGTTCTACCTGGATTCTATCCTCTTGGAATTTTTATTCAGAAAATATACATGTATGGGTATTTATATATTTTGCATATGTATGTATGTTTACCACTAATATTATCTATCTATCTATCTATCTATCTATCTATCTATCTATCTATCTATCTCTCTCTCTCTCTCTCTCTCTCTATATATATATATATATATATATATATATAACGAATATCATAAATCAAATCAAATAAAACAAATAACATCAAATTGTTTAAATAAAATCGAAATAAAAAATGATCTCCCGGCATGCAATGGAAAACTTCCCTGTTGATAAACGGATACTTCGAGTCAAAATACAGCATACTCACTCTCTTTGTTACGAACCCTCAAACAGTAAAGACTTCCATTTCCCCTCCTCTCACCTTGCATGTCATCAGGCGATATGACTTTCTTCATCTGTTATAGCCAACTTTTAATCACATATAACTAAAATACACACAGACACCAGTATACAGAAATAAATAAAATTATATGATTCTAATTTAATATATCACATGCTTTCAGTGTTATTTCTTTGTATGATTTTATTCCTGTGTACACGAGGCTATCCCTGCTGATATGATGAAAGTGACCCCACAAATGTCTTGCAGGTGTCGATACACAGTCATTGTGTCATAAAGCCGAATTGCAGTCGCTAATTCAAAGTCACTGTTTTGAAATTGCCCTTTGCAGTCACCGTTTCACAGTCGCAGTATAAATTTTGGCGCTTTGCAGACACCGTTTCGCAGTCGCTGCTTAAAGTTGCCGTTTTGCAGTCACCGCTTTGCAGTCGCTGTTTCGCAGTCACTGTTTGACAGTCTCTGATTAAAAGCTGCCGTTTTGCAATCGCTGTTTCGCGGTCGCTGTTTGACAGTCTCTGATTAAAATCTGCCGTTTTGCAGTCGCTGTTTTCGCGGTTGCTGTTTTGACGCTGTTTCGCAGTCTCGATTAAATGCTGCCGTTTTGCAGTCGCTGTTTCGCGGTTGCTGTTTGACAGTCTCTGATTAAAGCTGCTGTTTTGCAGTCGCTGTTTCGCGGTCGTTGTTTGACAGTCTGATTAAAATCTGCCGTTTTGCAGTCGCTGTTTCGCGGTTGCTGTTTGACGATCTCTGATTAAATGCTGCCGTTTTGCAGTCGCTGTTTCGCGGTTGCTGTTTGATAGTCTCTGATTAAAAGCTACTTTTGTTTTGCAGTCGCTGTTTTGCGGTCGTTGTTTGACAGTCTGATTAAAATCTGCCGTTTTGCAGTCGCTGTTTCGCGGTTGCTGTTTGATAGTCTCTGATTAAAAGCTGCCGTTTTGCAGTCGCTGTTTCGCGGTCGCTGTTTGACAGTCTGATTAAAATCTACCGTTTTGCAGTCGCTGTTTCGCGGTTGCTGTTTGACGAGTCTCTGATTAAAATCTGCCGTTTTGCGGTCGCTTTTTTCGCGGTCGCTGTTTGATAGTCTCTGATTAAAAGCTGCCGTTTTGCAGTCGCTGTTTCGCGGTCGCTGTTTGAGAGTCTCTGATTAAAAGCTGCCGTTTTGCAGTCGCTGTTTCGCGCTCGCTGTTTGAGAGTCTCTGATTAAATGCTGCCGTTTTGCAGTCGCTGTTTCGCGGTTGCTGTTTGACAGTCTTTGATTAAAAAGTACTGTTTTGCAGTCGCTGTTTCGCGGTCGTTGTTTGACAGTCTGATTAAAATCTGCCGTTTTGCAGTCGCTGTTTCGCGATAGCTGTTTGATAGTGTCTGATTAAAAGCTGCCGTTTTGCAGTCGCTGTTTCGCGGTCGCTGTTTGACAGTCTGATTAAAATCTACCGTTTTGCAGTCGCTGTTTCGCGGTTGCTGTTTGACAGTCTCTGATTAAAATCTGCCGTTTTGCAGTCGCTTTTTCGGGTTGCTGTTTGACAGTCTCTGATTAAAATCTGCCGTTTTGCACGCTGTTTCGCGCTCGCTGTTTGAAGTCTCTGATTAAAAAGCTGCCGTTTTGCAGTCGCTGTTTCGCGGTCGCTGTTTGAGAGTCTCTGATTAAAATCTGCCGTTTTGCAGTCGCTGTTTCGCGGTCGCTGTTTGAGAGTCTCTGATTAAAAGCTGCCGTTTTCGCAGTCGCTGTTTCGCGGTCGCTGTTTGAGAGTCACTGATTAAATCTGCCGTTTTGCAATCGCTGTTTCGCGGTCGCTGTTTGACAGTCTCTGATTAAAATCTGCCGTTTTGCAGTCGCTGTTTCGCGGTTGCTGTTTGACGGTCTCTGATTAAATGCTGCTGTTTTGCAGTCGCTGTTTCGCGGTTGCTGTTTGACAGTCTCTGATTAAAGTCGCTGTTTTGAGAGTTTCGCGGTCGTTGTTTGACAGTCTGATTAAAATCTGCCGTTTTGCAGTCGCTGTTTCGCGGTTGCTGTTTGATAGTCTCTGATTAAAGCTGCCGTTTTGCGGTCGCTGTTTTCGCGGTCGCTGTTGGACAGTCTGATTAAAATCTGCCGTTTTGCAGTCGCTGTTTCGCGGTTGCTGTTTGACAGTCTCTGATTAAAAGCTACTGTTTTGCGGTCGCTGTTTCGCGGTCGTTGTTTGACAGTCTGATTAAAATCTGCCGTTTTGCGGTCGCTGTTTCGCTGTTGTTTGATAGTCTCTGATTAAAATCTGCCGTTTGCAGTCGCTGTTTCGCGGTTTGTTTGATCTCTGATTAAAAGCTGCCGTTTTGCAGTCGCTGTTTCGCGGTCGCTGTTTGACAGTCTCTGATTAAAAGCTGCCGTTTTGCAATCGCTGATTCGCGGTCGCTGTTTGACAGTCTCTGATTAAAATCTGCCGTTTTGCAGTCGCTGTTTCGCGGTTGCTGTTTGACAGTCTCCGATTAAATGCTGCCGTTTTGCAGTCGCTGTTTCGCGGTTGCTGTTTGACAGTCTCTGATTAAAAGCTACTGTTTTGCAGTCGCTGTTTCGCGGTCGTTGTTTGACAGTCTGATTAAAATCTGCCGTTTTGCAGTCGCTGTTTCGCGGTTGCTGTTTGATAGTCTCTGATTAAAAGCTGCCGTTTTGCAGTCGCTGTTTCGCGGTCGCTGTTTGAGAGTCTCTGATTAAAAGCTGCCGTTTTTCGCGGTCGCTGTTTCGCCGTCGCTGTTTGAGAGTCTCTGATTAAAAAGCTGCCGTTTTGCAGTCGCTGTTTCGCGGTCGCTGTTTGACAGTCTCTGATTAAAGCTGCCGTTTTGCAGTCGCTGTGTTTCGCGGTCGCTGTTTGACAGTCTCTGATTAAAGCTGCCGTTTTGCAGTCGCTGTTTCGCGGTCGCTGTTTGACAGTCTGATTAAAATCTTCCGTTTTGCAGTCGCTGTTTCGCGGTTGCTGTTTGACAGTCTCTGATTAAAATCTGCCGTTTTGCGGTCGCTTTTTCGCGGTTGCTGTTTGCAGTTAAAAGCTGCCGTTTTGCAATCGGTTTCGCGGTTGCTTTTGACAGTCTCTGATTAAAAGCTACTGTTTTTGCAGTCGCTGTTTCGCGATCGTTGTTTGACAGTCTGATTAAAATCTGCCGTTTTGCAGTCGCTGTTTCGCGGTTGCATTTGAGAGTCTCTGATTAAAAGCTGCCGTTTTGCAGTCGCTGTTTCGCGGTCGCTGTTTGAGAGTCTCTGATTAAAAATCTGCCGTTTTGCAGTCGCTGTTTCCCGGTTGCTGTTTGAGAGTCTCTGATTAAAATCTGCCGTTTTGCAGTCGCTGTTTCGCGGTCGCTGTTTGAAGTCTCTGATTAAAAGCTGCCGTTTTTGCAGTCGCTGTTTCGCGGTCGCATTTTGACGATCTCTGATTAAAAGCTGCCGTTTTGCAATCGCTGTTTCGCGGTCGCTGTTTGACAGTCTCTGATTAAAATCTGCCGTTTTGCAGTCGCTGTTTCGCGGTTGCTGTTTGACAGTCTCTGATTAAATCTGCCGTTTGCGGTCGCTGTTTCGCGGTCGCTGTTTGAGAGTCTCTGATTAAAAGCTGCCGTTTTGCAGTCGCTGTTTCGCGGTCGCTGTTTGACGATCTCTGATTAAAAAATGCCGTTTGCAGTCGCTGTTTCGCGGTCGATGTTTGACAGTCTCTGATTAAAATCTGCCGTTTTGCAGTCGCTGTTTCGCGGTTGCTGTTTGACAGTCTCTGATTAAATCTGCCGTTTTGCAGTCGCTTTTTGCGGTTGCTGTTTGAGACTCTGATTAAAAGCTGCCGTTTTGCAGTCGCTGTTTTCATGGTCGCTGTTTGAGAGTCTCTGATTAAAATCTGCCGTTTTGCAGTCGCTGTTTCGCGGTTGCTGTTTGACAGTCTCTGATTAAAAGCTGCCGTTTTGCAGTCGCTGTTTCGCGGTCGTTGTTTGACAGTCTGATTAAAAAGCTGCCGTTTTGCAGTCGCTGTTTCGCGGTTGCTGTTTGAGAGTCTCTGATTAAAAGCTGCCGTTTTGCAGTTTTTCGCGGTCGCTGTTTGTGAGTCTCTGATTAAAATCTGCCGTTTTGTCGCTGTTTGAGAGTCTCTGATTAAAATCTGCCGTTTTGCGGTCGCTGTTTCGCGGTCGTTGTTTGATAGTCTCTGATTAAAGCTGCCGTTTTCAGTCGCTGTTTCGCGGTCGCTGTTTGAGAGTCTCTGATTAAAAGCTGCCGTTTTGCAGTCGCTGTTTCGCGGTCGCTGTTTGAGAGTCTCTGATTAAAAGCTGCCGTTTTGCAGTCGCTGTTTCGCGGTTGCTGTTTGACAGTCTCTGATTAAATGCCGTTTTGCAGTCGCTGTTTCGCGGTTGCTGTTTGACGATCTCTGATTAAAAGCTACTGTTTTGCAGTCGCTGTTTCGCCAGTCGTTGTTTGACAGTCTGATTAAAATCTGCCGTTTTGCAGTCGCTGTTTCGCTGTTGCTGTTTGATAGTCTCTGATTAAAAAGCTGCCGTTTTGCAGTCGCTCTTTCACGCGGTCGCTGTTTGAGAGTCTCTGATTAAATGCTGCCGTTTTGGTCGCTGTTTCGCGGTCGCTGTTTGACGATCTCTGATTAAAAAGCTGCCGTTTTGCAATCGCTGTTCGCGGTCGCTGTTTGACAGTCTCTGATTAAAATCTGCCGTTTTGCAGTCGCTGTTTCGTGGTTGCTGTTTGACGATCTCCGATTAAAATCTGCCGTTTTGCAGTCGCTGTTTCGCGGTTGCTGTTTGAGAGTCTCTGATTAAAGCTGCCGTTTTGCAGTCGCTGTTTTTCGCGGTCGTTGTTTGATCTCTGATTAAAAGCTGCCGTTTTGCAGTCGCTGTTTCGAGTCGCTGTTTGACAGTCTCTGATTAAAATCTGCCGTTTTTTGCAGTCGCTGTTTCGCGGTCGCTGTTTGAGAGTCTCTGATTAAAAGCTGCCGTTTTGCAGTCGCTGTTTCGCGGTCGCTGTTTGACAGTCTCCTGATTAAAGCTGCCGTTTTGCAGTCGCTGTTTCGCGGTCGCTGTTTGACAGTCTCTGATTAAAATCTGCCGTTTTGCAGTCGCTGTTCGCGGTCGCTGTTTGAGAGTCTCTGATTAAAGCTGCCGTTTGCAGTCGCTGTTTTTCGCGGTCGCTGTTTGAGAGTCTCTGATTAAAAAGCTGCCGTTTTGCAGTCGCTGTTTTTCGCGGTTTTGTTTGACAGTCTCTGATTAAAATCTGCCGTTTTGCAGTCGCTTTTCGCGGTTTGCTGTTTGACAGTCTCTGATTAAAAAGCTGCCGTTTTGCGGTCGTGTTTCGCGGTTTGTTTGAGTCTCTGATTAAAGCTACTGCTTGCGTTTTGCGTTGTTTCAGATCGTTGTTTGACAGTCTGATTGCCAAAATCGCCGTTTTGCAGTCCTTCGCGGTTATTTTTGATCGGTCTGCCGTTTGCAGTCGCTTTTCCCTGTTTGATAGTCTCTGATTAAAATCTGCCGTTTTGCAGTCGCTGTTTCGCGGTCGCTGTTTGAGAGTCTCTGATTAAGTCGCTGCTGTTTGCAGTCGTCGCTGTTTCACGGTTGCTGTTTGACAGTCTCTGATTTAAAAGCTACTGTTTTGCAGTCGCTGTTTCGCGGTCGTTGTTTGACAGTCTCTGATTAAAATCTGCCGTTTTTTGCAGTCGCTGTTCGCGGTTTGCTGTTTCGCGTTTTGATCTGATTAAAATCTGCACCGTTTTCGACAGTTGTTGATTAAAAATCTGCCGTTTTGCAGTCGCTGTTTCGCGGTCGCTGTTTGAAGTCTCTGATTAAAGCTGCCGTTTTTCAATCGCTTCATTTCGCGGTCGCTGTTTCTGATCTCTCGTTTTGTTCGACAGTCTCTGATTAAAATCTGCCGTTTTGTAGTCGTTTGAGAGCTCTGTTTGCGGTCGCTGTTTCGAGGTTGCTCTGTTTGATAGTCTCTGATTAAAAGCTGCCGTTTTTGCAGTCGCTGTTTCGCGGTCGCATTTTGAGAGTCTCTGATTAAAAAAGCTGCCGTTTTTTGCAGTCGCTGTTTCGCGGTCGCTGTTTGAGAGTCTCTGATTAAAAGATGCCGTTTTGCAGTCGCTGTTTCGCGGTCGCTGTTTGAGAGTCTCTGATTAAAAGCTGCCGTTTTGAGTCGCTGTTTCGTCGCTGTTTGAGAGTCTCTGGATTAAAAGCTGTTTTGGTAATCCTTTTCGCGGTCGCTGTCAGTCTGATTAAAATCTGCCGTTTTGCAGTCGCTGTTTCGCGGTTGCTGTTTGACAGTCTCCGATTAAATCTGCCGTTTTGCAGTCGCTGTTTCGCGGTTGCGTTTGACAGTCTCTGATTAAAATCTGCCGTTTTGAATCGCTGTTTCGCGGTCGTTGTTGACAGTCTGATTAAAATCTGCCGTTTTGCAGTTCGCGGTTGCTGTTTGCGGTCTCTGATTAAAAGCTGTTTGACGCTGTTTCGCGGTCTCGAATAATTAAAATCTGCCGTTTTGCAGTCGCTTTTTCGCGGTCGCTATTTGAGAGTCTCTGATTAAAGCTGCCGTTTTGCAGTCGCTGATTTCCGCGGTCGCTGTTTGAGAGTCTGATTAAAATGCTGCCGTTTTGGTCGCTACTTAAAGCTTTGTTTGACGTCTCCGATTAAATGCTGCCGTTTGCGGTCGCTGTTTCGCGGTTGCTGTTTGACAGTCTCTGATTAAAATCTGCCGTTTTGCGGTCGCTGTTTCGCGGTTGCTGTTTGACAGTCTGATTAAAATCTGCCGTTTTGCAGTCGCTGTTTGACGCGGTTGCTGTTTGAGGAGTCGTTGCTTGATTAAAAATCCTGCCGTTTTGCTGCAGTCGCTGTTTCGCGGTCGCTGTTTGATAGTCTCTGATTAAAGCTGCCGTTTGCAGTCGCTGTTTCGCGGTTTGCTGTTTGAAGTCTCTGATTAAAAGCTGCCGTTTGCAGTCGCTGTTTCGCGGTCGTTGTTTGAGAGTCTCTGATTAAATCTGCCGTTTTTCGCGGTCGCTGTTTGAGTCTCTGGTCGCTGTTTTGCAGTCGCTGTTTTTGAGTCGCTGATTATTAAAATCTGCCGTTTTGCGGTCGCTGTTTCGTTCGCTGTTTGACAGTCTCTGATTAAATCTGCCGTTTTGCAGTCGCTGTTTTCGCGGTTGTCTGTTTGAAGTCTCTGATTATTAAAATCTGCCGTTTTGCAGTCGCTGTTTCGCGGTTGCTGTTTGACTGATTGGTGCTGCCGTTTTCCTCGCGGTCGATTATTAAATCTGCCGTTTTGCAGTCGCTGTTTCCCGGTTTTGCAGTCGTTGTTTCGCGGTCGCTGTTTGACAGTCTCTGATTAAATTCTGCCGTTTTGCAGTCGCTGTTTCGCGGTTGCTGTTTGACAGTCTCTGATTAAAATCTGCCGTTTTGCAGTCGCTGCTTCGCGGTCGCTGTTTGACAGTCTGATTAAAATCTGCCGTTTTGCAGTCGCTGTTTCGCGGTCGCTGCTTGAGAGTCTCTGATTAAAAGCTGCCGTTTTTTGGAGTCTCGCTGTTTCGCGGTTGTTTGAGATCGCTGTTTCGCGGTCGCTGTTTGAGAGTCTCTGATTAAAAAGCTGCCGTTTTGCAGTCGCTGTTTCGCGGTCGCTGTTTGACAGTCTCTGATTAAAATCTGCCGTTTTGCAGTCGCTGTTTCGCGGTCGCTGTTTGACAGTCTCGATTAAAATCTGCGCTGTTTTGCAGTCGCTGTTTTGCGCGGTTGCTGTTTGACAGTCTCTGATTAAAAGCTGCCGTTTTGCAGTCGCTGTTTCGCGGTTGCTGTTTGACAGTCTGATTAAAAGCTGCCGTTTTGCAGTCGCTGTTTCGCGGTTGCTGTTTGAGACTCTGATTGTGCTACCGTTTTGCAGTCGCTGTTTTGCGGTCGCTGTCTCTGATTAAAATCTGCCGTTTTGCAGTCGCTGTTTCGCGGTCGCTGTTTGAGAGTCTCTGATTAAAGCTTGCCGTTTTGCAGTCGCTGTTTCGCGGTCGCTGTTTGAGAGTCTCTGATTAAAAATTTTGCAGTCGCTGTTTTGCAGTCGCTGTTTGAGAGTCGCTGCCGTTTGCAGTCGCTGTTTCGCGGTTGCTGTTTGACGTCACTGCCCCGTTTGCAGTCGTTCGCGGTTGTTGTTTGTCTCCTGATTAAATGCTGCTGTTTTGCAGTCGCTGTTTCGCGGTTGCTGTTTGACGAGTCTCTGATTAAAGTGCCGTTTTGCTGTTTCGCTGTTTTGAAGTCTCTTTTGAAATCTGCCGTTTTGCAGTCGCTGTTTGAGTCTCTGATTAAAATCTGCCGTTTTGCAATCGGTTTCGTTTGCTGTTTGACAGTCTGATTAAAATCTGCCGTTTTTGCAGTCGCTGTTCTGCGGTCGCTGTTTGACAGTCTGATTAAAAAGCTGCCGTTTTGCGATCGCTGTTTCGTCGCTGTTTGATAGTCTCTGATTAAAATCTGCCGTTTTGCAGTCGCTTTATTTCGCGGTCGCTGTTTGAGAGTCTCTGCGGTTGCTGTTTGAGGTCGTGTTTCTCTGATTAAAAGTTGCCGTTTTGCGGTCGCTGTTTCGCGGTTGCTGTTTGACGAGTCTGTTTGATTGTTCTGCCGCCAGTTTTTCGCGGTTGCTGTTGAAACTCTGATTAAAATTCGCCGTTTTGCGGTCGCTGTTTCGCGGTTGCTGTTTGACAGTCTCTGATTAAAAGCTGCTGTTTTGAAGTCGCTGTTTCGCGGTCGTTGTTTGACAGAGTTTCGCGGTCGATTCTGATGAAACTGCCGTTTTGCAGTCGCTGTTTTCGCAGTCGCTGTTTGACAGTCTGATTAAAAATTGCCGTTTTGCAGTCGCTGTTTCACGGTTGCTGTTTGATCTCTGTTCTCTGATTTGCAGGTTTTGCAGTCGCTGTTTCGCGGTCGTTGTTTGACAGTCTCGATTAAAATCTGCCGTTTTGCAGTCGCTGTTTCGCGGTTGCTGTTTGATAGTCTCCGTTTGATTGTTTCGCTGCTGCTTTTGCAGTCGCTGTTTTGCAGCGGTCGCTGTTTGAGAGTCTCTGATTAAAAGCTGCCGTTTTGCAGTCGCTGTTTCGCGGTCGCTGTTTGAGAGTCTCTGATTAAAGCTGCCGTTTTGCAGTCGCTGTTTCGCGGTGGTCGCTGTTTTGCAGAGAGTCTCTGATTAAAATCTGCTGTTTTGCAGTCGCTGTTTCGCGGGTCGCTGTTTGAGAGTCTCTGATTAAAAGCTGCCGTTTTGCAGTCGCTGTTTCGCGGTCGCTGTTTGACAGTCTGATTAAATCTGCCGTTTTGCAGTCGCTGTTTCGCGGTTGCTGTTTGACAGTCTCTGATTAAAATCTGCCGTTTTGCAGTCGCTGTTTCGCGGTCGCTGTTTGAGAGTCTCTGATTAAAAAACTGCCGTTTTGCAGTCGCTGTTTCGCGGTCGCTGTTTGACAGTCTCTGATTAAAAGCTGCCGTTTTGCAGTCGCTGTTTCGCGGTCGCTGTTTGACAGTCTGATTAAAATCTGCCGTTTTGCAGTCGCTGTTTCTCTGATTAAAGGTTTGCTGTTTGACAGTCTCCGATTAAAGCTGCCGTTTTGCAGTCGCTGTTTCGCGGTCGCTGTTTGAGAGTCTCTGATTAAAAAAGCTGCCGTTTTGCAGTCGCGTTTCGCGGTCGCTGTTTGACATCTCTGGTCGTCTGCCGTTTTGCGTCGCTGTTTCGCGGTTGCTGTTTGAAGTCTCTGATTAAAATCTGCCGTTTTGCAGTCGCTGTTTCGCGGTTGCTGTTTGAGGAGTCTCTGATTAAAAGCTGCCGTTTTTGCACCCTTTGTTTCAGTGTTTTGCAGTCGATTAAAATTGCCGTTTTGCGTCGCTGTTTCGCGGTTGTGTTGAGAGTCTCTGATTAAAAAGCCGTTTTGCAGTCGCTGTTTCGCGGTCGCTGTTTGAGAGTCTCTGATTAAAAATCTGCCGTTTTGACAGTCGCTGTTTTGCGCGGTCGCTGTTTGACAGTCTCTGATTAAAATCTGCCGTTTTGCAGTCGCTGTTTTCGCGGTCGCTGTTTGAGAGTCTCTGATTAAAATCTACCGTTTTGCAGTCGCTGCGCGGTCGCTGTTTGAGAGTCTCTGATTAAAGCTGCCGTTTTGCAGTCGGTTTCGCGGTTGCGGTCTGTTTGATAGTCTGATTAAAATCTGCTGTTTTGCAGTCGCTGTTTCGCGGTCGTTGTTTGACAGTCTGATTAAAATCTGCCGTTTTGCAGTCGCTGTTTCGCGGTTGCTGTTTGAGAGTCTCTGATTAAAAGCTGCCGTTTTGCAGTCGCTGTTTCGCGGTTGCTGTTTGAGAGTCTCTGATTGTGCTGCTGTTTTGCAGTCGCTGTTTCGCGGTCGTTGTTTGAGAGTCTCTTTTATTTGCAATCGCCGTTTTGCAGTCGCTGTTTCGCGGTCGCTGTTTGACAGTCTCTGTTGATTAAAAAAGCTGCCGTTTTGCAATCGCTGTTTCGCGGTCGCTGTTTGACAGATTAAAATCTGATTTGTCCGCTGCTTCGTCGCTTTTGCAGTCGCTGTTTCGTCGGTTTCGCGGTCGCTTTTGACAGTCTCTGATTAAATCTGCCGTTTTGCAGTCGCTGTTTCGCGGTTGCTGTTTGACAGTCTCTGATTAAAATCTGCCGTTTTGCAGTCGCTGTTTCGCGGTTGCTGTTTGAGAGTCTCTGATTAAATCTGCCGTTTTGCAGTCGCTGTTTCGCGGTCGCTGTTTGAGAGTCTCTGATTAAAAGCTCGCTGTTTCGCCGTGTTTGAGAGTCTCTGAGTTTTGCGCTGTTTCGCCAGTCGTTGCTGTTTGAGAGTCTGATTAAAGCTGCCGTTTTGCAGTCGCTGTTTCGCGGTCGCTGTTTGAGAGTCTCTGATTAAAAGCCGTTTTGCGCCGTTTTGCAGTCGCTGTTTGTAGCGGTTGCTGTTTGACAGTCTCTGATTAAAAGTCTACCGTTTTGCAGTCGCTGTTTCGCGGTTGTTGTTTGACAGTCTGATTAAAAACTGCCGTTTTGCAGTCGCTGTTTCGCGGTTGCTGTTTGACGGTCTCTGATTAAAGCTACTGTTTTCAGTCGCTGTTTCGCCGTCTCGACAGTCTCTGATAAAATCTGCCGTTTTGCAGTCGCTGTTTCGCGGTCGCTGTTTGACAGTCTCTGATTAAAATCTGCCGTTTTGCAGTCGCTGTTTCGCGGTTGCTGTTTGACCGTCTCGATTAAAAAGCTGCCGTTTTGCGGTCGCTGTTTCGCGGTTGCTGTTTGACAGTCTCTGATTAAAATCTGCCGTTTTGCAGTCGCTGTTTCGCGGTTGCTGTTTGACAGTCTCTGATTAAAAAGCCGTTTTGCTGTTTCGCGGTCGCTGTTTGACAGTCTCTGATTAAAATCTGCCGTTTTTGCAGTCGCTGTTTCGCGGTTGTTTGAGTCTCTGATTAAAATCTGCCGTTTTGCAGTCGCTGTTTCGCGGTCGCTGTTTGAGAGTCTCTGATTAAAAGCTGCCGTTTTGCAGTCGCTGTTTCGCGGTCGCTGTTTGACAGTCTCTGATTAAATCTCTGCCGTTTTTGCAGTCGCTGTTTCGCGGTTGCTGTTTGACAGTCTCTGATTAAAATCTGCCGTTTTGCAGTCGCTGTTTCGCGGTTGCTGTTTGACAGTCTCTGATTAAAATCTGCTGTTTTGCAGTCGCTGTTTCGCGGTCGTTGTTTGAGTTCTGATTAAAATCTGCCGTTTTGCAGTCGCTGTTTCGCGGTCGCTGTTTGAGAGTCTCTGATTAAAAGCTGCCGTTTTGCGGTCGCGTTTCGTTTTCGCCGGTCGCTGTTTGAGAGTCTGATTAAAGTCTCCTGATTAAAGCTGCCGTTTTGCAGTCGCTGTTTCGCGGTCGCTGTTTGACAGTCTCTGATTAAAATCTGCCGTTTTGCAGTCGCTGTTTCGCGGTCGCTGTTTGAGAGTCTCTGATTAAAATCTGCCGTTTTGCAGTCGTGTTTTTCGCTCTTTTTTGAGTCTCGATTAAAAGTCTGCCGTTGCAGTCGCTGTTTCGCGGTTGCTGTTTGAGAGTCTCTGATTAAAATCTGCCGTTTTGCAGTCGCTGTTTCGCGGTCGCTGTTTGAGAGTCTCTGATTAAAAGCTGCCGTTTTGCAGTCGCTGTTTCGCGCGGTCGCTGTTTGACAGTCTGATTAAAATCTGCCGTTTTGCAGTCGCTGTTTCGCGGTCGCTGTTTGACAGTCTGATTAAAAATCTGCCGTTTTGCAGTCGCTGTTTGCGCGGTTTTGCTGTTTCGCTGAGAGTCTCTGATTAAAATCTGCCGTTTTGCAGTCGCTGTTTCGCGGTCGCTGTTTGAGAGTCTCTGATTAAAATCTGCCGTTTTGCAGTCGCTGTTTCGCGGTCGCTGTTTGACAGTCTCTCGATTAAAATCTGCCGTTTTGCAGTCGCTGTTTCGCGGTTGCTGTTTGACAGTCTCTGATTAAAATGCGTTTGCCGTCTGCTGTTTGCAGTCGCTGTTTTGCTGATTAAAATTGCCGTTTTGCAGCGGGTTGCTGTTTGACAGTCTCTGATTAAAGCTACTGTTTTGCAGTCGCTGTTTCGCGGTCGTTGTTTGACAGTCTGATTAAAATCTGCCGTTTTGCAGTCGCTGTTTTTGATGCTGCCGTTTTGCTGTTTTCGACGGTCGTTGATTGAAATTAAATGCTGCCGTTTTGCAGTCGCTGTTTCGCGGTCGCTGTTTGACAGTCTGATTAAAATCTGCCGTTTTGCAGTCGCTGTTTCGCGGTCGTTGTTTGACAGTCTGATTAAAATCTGCTGCCGTTTGCAGTCGCTGTTTCGCGGTTGCTGTTTGACGATCTCTGATTAAAAGCTGCCGTTTTGCAGTCGCTGTTTCGCGGTTGCTGTTTGAGAGTCTCTGATTAAAAAGCTGCCGTTTTGCGGTCGCTGTTTCGCGGTCGTTGTTTGACAGTCTCTGATTAAAAGCTGCCGTTTTGCAGTCGCTGTTTTCGCGGTCGCTGTTTGACAGTCTCTGATTAAAAACTGCCGTTTTGCAGTCGCTGTTTCGCGGTCGCTGTTTGAGAGTCTCTGATTAAAAGCTGCCGTTTTGCAGTCGCTGTTTCGCGGTTTTTGGGTCGCTGACTGTTTGAGTCTCTGATTAAAATTCGCCGATTCGCTGTTTCGCGGTCGCTGTTTGACAGTCTCTCTGATTAAAATCTGCCGTTTGCGCGCTGTTTCGCGGTCGCTGTTTGAGAGTCTCTGATTAAAAGCTGCCGTTTTGCAGTCGCTGTTTCGCGGTCGCTGTTTGAGAGTCTCTGATTAAAATTGCCGTTTTGCAGTCGCTGTTTCGCGGTTGCTGTTTGACAGTCTCTGATTAAAAAGCTGCCGTTTTGCAGTCGCTGTTTCGCGGTTGTTGTTTGACAGTCTCTGATTAAAAATCTGCCGTTTTGCAGTCGCTGTTTCGCGGTTGCTGTTTGATAGTCTGATTAAAGCTGCCGTTTTGCAGTCGCTGTTTCTGCGGTCGCTGTTTGAGAGTCTCTGATTAAAATCTGCCGTTTTGCAGTCGCTGTTTTCGCGGTCGCTGTTTGACAGTCTGATTAAAATCTGCCGTTTTGCGATCGCTGTTTCGCGGTCGCTGTTTGAGAGTCTCTGATTAAAAGCTGCCGTTTTGCAGTCGCTGTTTTCGCGGTTGCTGTTTGACAGGTCGCTGTGATTAAAAAAGCTGCCGTTTTTTTGCAGTCGCTGTTTCGCGGTCGCTGTTTGACAGTCTCTGATTAAAAGCTGCCGTTTTGCAGTCGCTGTTTCGCGGTCGCATGTTTGACGAGTCTCTGATTAAAATCTGCCGTTTTGCAGTCGCTGTTTCGCGGTTGCTGTTTGAGAGTCTCTGATTAAAATCTGCCGTTTTTGCAGTCGCTGTTTCGCGGTTGCTGTTTGACGGTCTCTGATTAAAAGCTGCCGTTTTGCAGTCGCTGTTTTCGCGGTCGCTGTTTGAGAGTCTCTGATTAAAAGCTGCCGTTTGCAGTCGCTGTTTCGCGGTTGCTGTTTGATAGTCTCTGATTAAAATCGGTCGCTGTTTCGCGAGTCTCTGATTAAAATCTGCCGTTTGAAAGCGGTGCTGTTTTGACGTTTTGATTAAAATCTCCGTTTTGTTTCGCGGTCGCTGTTTGACAGTCTCTGATTAAAATCTGCCGTTTTGCAGTCGCTGTTTTCGCGGTCGCTGTTTGACAGTCTGATTAAAATCTGCCGTTTTGCAGTCGCTGTTTCGCGGTTGCTGTTTGACAGTCTCCTGATTAAAAGCTGCTGTTTTGCAGTCGCTGTTTCGCGGTTGTTGTTTGACAGTCTGATTAAAATCTGTTTTTCGCAGTCGATTGTTTTGCGCGGTCGCTGTTTGAGTTGTCTCTGATTAAAAGCTGCCGTTTTGCAGTCGCTGTTTCGCGGTCGTTGTTTGAGAGTCTCTGATTAAAATCTGCCGTTTTGCAGTCGCGGTTGCTGTTTGACAGTCTCTGATTAAAAATTGCCGTTTGCAGTCTCTGTTTTCGCGGTCGCGCTGTTTGATAGTCTCTGATTAAAAGCTGCCGTTTTGCAGTCGCTGTTTCGCGGTCGCTGTTTGAGAGTCTCTGATTAAAAGCTGCCGTTTTGTCGCGCTGTTTCGCGGTCGCTGTTTGAGAGTCTGATTAAAAGCTGCCGTTTTGCAGTCGCTGTTTCGCGGTCGCTGTTTGACAGTCTGATTAAAATCTGCCGTTTTTGCAGTCGCTGTTTCGCGGTTGCTGTTTGACAGTCTCTGATTAAAAAGCTGCCGTTTTGCAGTCGTGTTTCGCGGTCGCTGTTTGAGAGTCTCTGATTAAAATCTGCCGTTTGCGGTCGCTGTTTCGCGGTTGCTGTTTGAAGAGTCTCTGATTAAAGCTGCCGTTTTGCGGTCGCTGTTTCGCGGTCGCTGTTTGAAGTCTCTGATTAAAATCGCTGCCGTTTTGCAGTCGCTGTTTCGCGGTTGCTGTTTGACAGTCTCTGATTAAAATCTGCCGTTTTATAGTCGCTGTTTCGCGGTCGCTGTTTGACAGTCTCTGATTAAAATCTGCCGTTTTGCAGTCGCTGTTTCGCGGTTGCTGTTTGACGGTCTCCGATTAAATGCTTTTGATTGTTTCGCCAGCTGTTTGCCGTTTTGCGGTCGCTGTTTTGTTTGATCGGTTAAAAAAGCTGCCGTTTGAGTCGCTGTTTCGCGGTCGCTGTTTGAGAGTCTCTGATTAAAAGCTGCCGTTTTGCAGTCGCTGTTTCGCGGTCGCTGTTTGACGGTCTCTGATTAAAAGCTGCCGTTTTGCAGTTTCTCTGATTAAAAGCTGCCGTTTTGCGGTCGCTGTTTCGCGGTCGCTGTTTGACAGTCTCTGCTGCCGTTTGCAGTTGTTTTCGCGGTCGCTGTTTGAGAGTCTGATTAAAATCTGCCGTTTTGCAGTCGCTGTTTCGCGGTCGCTGTTTGAGAGTCTCTGATTAAAATCTGCTGTTTTGCAGTCGCTGTTTCGCGGTCGCTGTTTGACAGTCTCTGATTAAAATCTGCCGTTTTGCAGTCGCTGTTTCGCGGTCGTTGTTTGAGAGTCTCTGATTAAAATCTGCCGTTTTGCAGTCGCTGTTTCGCGGTCGCTGTTTGAGAGTCTCTGATTAAAAGCTGCCGTTTTGCAGCTGTTTCACGGTCGTCTGATTAAAATCTGCCGTTTGAGTCGCTGTTTCGCGATTAAAGTCTCTGATTAAAATCCGTTTTGCCGTTTTGCGGTCGCTGTTTCGCGGTTTGCTGTTTGACAGTCTCTGATTAAAATCTGCCGTTTTGCAGTCGCTTGCTGTTTCGCGGTTGCTGTTTTTGATCTCTGATTAAATGTGCCGTTTTTGCAGTCGCTGTTTCGCGTTGCTGTTTGATTCTGATTAAAAGCTGCCGTTTTCAGTCGCTGTTTCGCGGTTTTTTGACAGTTAAAAATCTGCCGTTTTTGCGGTCGCTGTTTCGCGGTCGTTGTTTGACTCTGATTAAAATCTGCCGTTTTGCAGTCGCTGTTTCGCGGTTGCTGTTTGAGTCTCTCTGATTAAAAAGCTGCCGTTTTGCAGTCGTTGTTTCTCTGATTAAAAGCCCGTGCCGTTGCGGTCGCTTTTTCGATCGTTGTTTTGCAGTCCTTTGTCTCTCTGATTAAAGCTGCCGTTTTGCAGTCGCTGTTTCGCGGTTGCTGTTTGACAGTCTCTGATTAAAAATCTGCCGTTTTGCAGTCGCTGTTTCGCGGTCGTTGTTTGACAGTCTGATTAAAATCTGCCGTTTTGCAGTCGCTGTTTCGCGGTTGCTGTTTGATAGTCTCTGATTAAAATCTGCCGTTTTGCAGTCGCTTTTTCGCGGTCGCTGTTTGACAGTCTCTCGATTAAAATCACTGCCGTTTTGCAGTCGCTGTTTCGCGGTTGCTGTTTGACAGTCTCTGATTAAAGCTGCCGTTTTGCATCGCTGTTTGAGGTTGCTGTTTGAGTCTCTGATTAAAATCTGCCGTTTTGCAGTCGCTGTTTCGCGGTCGCTGTTTGATTAGTCTCTGATTAAAGTCGCCGTTTTTGCAGTCGCTGTTTCGCGGTCGCTGTTTGAGAGTCTCTGATTAAAAGCTGCCGTTTTGCAGTCGCTGTTTTCGCGGTTGCTGTTTGACAGTCTCTGATTAAAAGCTGCCGTTTGCTGTCGCTTTTCGCAGTCGCTGTTTTTCGCGGTCGCTGTTTGACAGTCTCTGATTAAAATCTGCCGTTTTGCGTTGGTCGCTGTTTTCGGTCGCTGTTTGATAGTCTCTGATTAAAGCTGCCGTTTTGCAGTCGCTGTTTCGCGGTCGCTGTTTGAGAGTCACTGATTAAAGCTGCCGTTTGCAGTCGCTGTTTCGCGGTCGCTGTTTGACAGTCTCTGATTAAAATCTGCCGTTTTGCAGTCGCGCGGTCGCTGTTTGACCAGCTCTGATTAAAATCTGCCGTTTTGCAGTCGCTTTTTCGCGGTCGCTGTTAAGAGTCTGATTAAAATTCGCCGTTTTTGCAGTCGCTGTTTCGCGGTTGCTGTTTGACGATCTCTGATTAAAGCTGCTGTTTTGCAGTCGCTGTTTGTTTGACAGCCGCTGCCGTTTGCTGTTTTCGCGGTTGCTGTTTGATGATAGTCTCTGATTAAAAGCTCTGCCGTTTTGCAGTCGCTGTTTCGCGGTCGTTGTTTGAGAGTCTCTGATTAAAAGCTGCCGTTTTGCAGTCCCGCTGTTTCAGTCTGTTTGAAGTTCTCTGATTAAAGCTGCCGTTTTGCGGTCGCTGCGCAGTCGCTGTTTGAGATCTCTGATTAAAATCTGCCGTTTTGCAGTCGCTGTTTCGCGGTCGCTGTTTGATAGTCTCTGATTAAAAAATGCCGTTTTTGCAGTCGCTGTTTCGCGGTCGCTGTTTGACGCTCTGTTAAAATCTGCCGTTTTGACTGTTTCGCGGTCTGTTTGATTCTCTGATTAAATCTGCCGTTTTGCAGTCGCTTTTTCGCGGTCGCTGTTTGACAGTCTCTGATTAAAATCTGCCGTTTTGCAGTCGCGCGGTTGCTGTTTGACGTCTCTGTTAAAAGCTGCCGTTTTGCGGTCGCTGTTTCGCGGTCGCTGTTTGACTCTCTGATTAAAATCTGTTTTGCCGCTGTTTTGCAGTCGTCTGTTTCGCGGTCGCTGTTTGACAGTCTGTTTGATATTAAAATGCTGCCGTTTTGCAGTCGCTGTTTCGCGGTCGCTGTTTGAGAGTCTCTGATTAAAATCTGCCGTTTTGCAGTCGCTGTTTCGCGGTTGCTGTTTGAGAGTCTCTGATTAAAAGCTGCCGTTTTGCAGTCGCTGTTTGCGGTCGCTGTTTGACAGTCTCTGATTAAAAGCTGCCGTTTTGCAGTCGCTGTTTCGACGGTCGATGTTTGACGCTGTCTCTGATTAAAATCTGATGCCGTTTTGCAGTCGCTGTTTCGCGGTCGTTGTTTGACAGTCTCTGATTAAAATCTGCCGTTTTGCAGTCGCTGTTTTCGCGGTTGCTGTTTGAGAGTCTCTGATTAAAAGCTGCCGTTTTGCAGTTTCGCGGTCGTTGTTTGAGTCTCTCTGATTAAAAGCTGCCGTTTTGCAGTCGCTGTTTCGCGGTCGCTGTTTGAGAGTCTCTGATTAAAATCTGCCGTTTTGCAATCGCTGTTTCGCGGTTGCTGTTTGACAGTCTCTGATTAAAATCTGCCGTTTTGCAGTCGCTGTTTCGCGGTCGTTGTTTGACAGTCTCTGATTAAAATCTGCCGTTTTGCAGTCGCTGTTTCGCGGTTGCTGTTTGACGGTCTTGATTAAAGCTCCGTTTTGCAGTCGCTGTTTTGCAGGTCGCTGTTTCGCGGTTGCTTTTGAGTTTTTTCGAGGTCGCTGTTTGACTCTGATTAAAAGCTGCCGTTTTGCGGTCGCTGTTTCGCGGTCGCTGTTTGATCTCTGATTAAAATCTCCGTTTTGCAGTCGCTTTTTTCGCGGTTGCTGTTTCGCTACTGATTAAAATCTGCCGTTTTGCAGTCGCTGTTTCGCGGTTGTTGTTTGACAGTCTGATTAAAATCTGCCGTTTTTGCAGTCGCTGTTTTCGCGGTTGCAGTTTGAGAGTCTCTCTGATTAAAATCCTGCCGTTTTGCAGTCGCTGTTTCGCGGTCGCTGTTTGAGAGTCTCTGATTAAAAGCTGCCGTTTTGCAGTCGCTGTTTCGCGGTCGCTGTTTGAGAGTCTCTGATTAAAATCTGCCGTTTTGCAGTCGCTGTTTCGCGGTCGCTGTTTGAGAGTCTCTGATTAAAAGCTGCCGTTTTGAGTCGCTGTTTCGCGGTCGCTGTTTGACAGTCTCTGATTAAAATTCGCCGTTTTTGCAGTCGCTGTTTCTGCCGTCGCTGTTTCGTTTGAGAGTCTCTGATTAAAATCTTTTGCCGCTGTTTCGCGGTTGCTGTTTGACAGTCTCTGTTGCTACTGTTTTGCAGTCGCTGTTTCGCGGTCGTTGTTTGAGAGTCACTCGATTAAAATCTGCCGTTTTGCAGTCGCTTTTTCGCGGTTGCTGTTTGACAGTCTCTGATTAAAAGCTGCCGTTTTGCAGTCGCTGTTTCGCGGTCGCTGTTTGTCGCTGTTTAAAAGTCTCCGATTAAAGCCTGTTTTGCAGTCGCTGTTTTTCGCGGTTGCTGTTTTGAGAGTCTCTGATTAAAAGCTGCCGTTTTGCAGTCGCTGTTTCGCGGTCGCTGTTTCGCGGTTGTGTTTTGACAGTGTTCTGATTGCTGTTAGACGGTCTCTCTCTGCCGTTTTGCAGTCGCTGTTTTTCGCGGTCGCTGTTTGACAGTCTGATTAAAATCTGCCGTTTTGCTGTTTCGTTTGCTGTTTGAGAGTCTCTGATTAAAAGCTGCCGTTTTGCGGTCGCTGTTTCGCGGTCGTTGTTTGAGAGTCTCTGATTAAAGCTGCCGTTTTGCAGTCGCTGTTTCGCGGTCGCTGTTTGAGAGTCTCTGATTAAAGCTGCCGTTTTGCAGTCGCTGTTTCGCGGTCGTTGTTTGAGAGTCTCTGATTAAAATCTGCCGTTTTGCAGTCGCTGTTTCGCGGTCGCTGTTAGACAGTCTCTGATTAAAATCTGCCGTTTTGCAGTCGCTGTTTCGCGGTCGCTGTTTGACAGTCTCTGATTAAAATCTGCCTTTTGCAGTCGCTTTTCGCGGTTGCTGTTTGAAAGCTCTGATTTCTGCCGTTTTGCGGTCGCTGTTTCGCGGTCGCTGTTTGAGAGTCTCTGATTAAAAAGCTACTGTTTTGCAGTCGCTGTTTCGCGGTCGCTGTTTGAGAGTCTCTGATTAAAAGCTGCCGTTTTGCAGTCGCTGTTTCGCGGTTGCTGTTTGACAGTCTCTGATTAAAAGCTGCCGTTTTGCAGTCGCTGTTTCTTTTCGCGGTCGCTGTTTGACAGTCTGATTAAAAACTGCCGTTTTGCAGTCGCTGTTTAGCGGTTGCTGTTTGAGAGTCTCTGATTAAAAAGCTGCCGTTTTGCAGTCGCATTTCGCGGTCGTTGTTTGAGAGTCTTTGATTAAAGCTGCCGTTTGCAGTCGCTGTTTCGCGGTCGCTGTTTGATAGTCTCTTAATGTAAAAGCTGCCGTTTTGCAGTCGCTGTTTCGCGGTCGCTGTTTGACAGTCTCTGATTAAAATCTGCTGTTTTGCAGTCGCTGTTTCGCGGTCGCTGTTTGACAGTCTCTGATTAAAAGCTGCCGTTTTGCAGTCGCTGTTTCGCGGTCGCTGTTTGACAGTCTCGATTAAAATCTGCCGTTTTGCAGTCGCTGTTTCGCGGTTGCTGTTTGACAGTCTCTGATTAAAATGCCGTTTTGCAGTCGCTGTTTCGCGGTTGCTGTTTGATTAGTCTCTGATTAAAGCTGCCGTTTTGCAGGTCGTTTTGGTAGTCGCTGTTTCGCGGTTTCGTTGTTTGACAGTCTCTGATTAAAATCTGCCGTTTTGCAGTCGCTGTTTCGCGGTTGCTGTTTGATAGTCTCTGATTAAAGCTGCCGTGCAGTCGCTTCCTTCCGTTTTGCCGCTGTTCGCTGAGAGTCTCTGATTAAAAAGCTGCCGTTTTGCAGTCGCTGTTTCGCGGTCGCTGTTTGAGAGTCTCTGATTAAAAGCTGCCGTTTTGCAGTCGCTGTTTCGCGGTCGCTGTTTGACAGTCTGATTAAAAACTGATTAAAAGCTGCCGTTTTGCAGTCGCTGTTTAAAATCTGCGGTCGCTGTTTCGCTGTTTGACAGTCTCTGATTAAAATCTGCCGTTTTGCAGTCGCTGTTTCGCGGTCGCTGTTTGACAGTCTCTGATTAAAATCTGCCGTTTTGCAGTCGCTGTTTCGCGGTTGCTGTTTGACAGTCTCTGATTAAAATCTGCCGTTTTGCAGTCGCTTTTTCGCGGTTGCTGTTTGACGGTCTCTGATTAAAATCTGCCGTTTTCGCTGTTTCGCGGTTGCTGTTTGACGCGTAAATGACCGTTTTGCAGTCGTTGTTTCGCGGTTGCTGTTTGTCTGATTAAATCTGCCGTTTTGCAGTCGCTGTTTCGCGGTTGCTGTTTGACGGTCTCTGATTAAAATCTGTTTTTCAGTCGCTGTTTCGCGGTCGTTGTTTGACAGTCTCTGATTAAAATCTGCCGTTTGCAGTCGCGGTCGCTTTTGAGAGTCTCTGATTAAAAGCTGCCGTTTTGAGAGTCGCTGTTTGAGAGTCTCTGATTAAGCTGCCGTTTTGGTCGCTGTTTCGCGGTCGCTGTTTGAGAGTCTCTGATTAAAGCTGCCGTTTTGCAGTCGCTGTTTCGCGGTCGCTGTTTGACAGTCTCTGATTAAAATCTGCCGTTTTGCAGTCGCTGTTTCGCGGTTGCTGTTTGAGAGTCTCTGATTAAAAATCCTGTTTTGCAGTCTTTTCGCGGTCGTTGTTTGACAGTCTGATTAAAATCGCCGTTTTGCAGTCGCTGTTTTCGCGGTTGCTGTTTGACAGTCTCTGATTAAAAGCTGCCGTTTTGCAGTCGCTGTTTCGCGGTCGCTGTTTGACAGTCTCTGATTAAAAGCTGCCGTTTTGCAGTCGCTGTTTCGCGGTTGCTGTTTGAGAGTCTCTGATTAAAGCTGCCGTTTTGCAGTTTTGCAGTCGCTGTTTCGCGGTTTTGGAGTCGCTGTTTCGCGGTCTCTGATTAAATTAAAATCTGCCGTTTTGCAGTCGCTGTTTCGCGGTCGCTGTTTGAGAGTCTCGATTAAAGCGCCGTTTGCAGTCGCTGTTTCGCGGTCGCTGTTTGACAGTCTCTGATTAAAATCTGCCGTTTTGCAGTCGCTTTGTTTCGCGGTTGCTGTTTGATTAGTCTCTGATTAAAAGCTGCCGTTTTGCAGTCGCTACTGTTTCGCGGTCGTTGTTTGACGTCTGTTAAATCTGCCGTTTTGCAGTCGCTTTTTCGCGGTTGCTGTTTGAGCTCGTTAAAAGCTGCCGTTTTGCAGTCGCTGTTTCTGTTTTGATAGTCTCTGATTAAAAGCTGCCGTTTTGCAGTCGCTGTTTCGCGGTCGCTGTTTGAGTTTGATCTCTGATTAAAATCTGCCGTTTTGCAGTCGCTGTTTCGCGGTCGCTGTTTGATGAGTCTCTGATTAAAAAGCTGCCGTTTTGCAGTCGCTGTTTCGCGGTCGCTGTTTGACGGTCTCTGATTTGCCAGTCGCTGTTTCGCGGTGATTATTAAATCTGCCGTTTTGCAGTCGCTGTTTCGCGGTCGCTGTTTGACAGTCTGATTAAAGCTGCCGTTTTGCAGTCGCTGTTTCGCGGTTGCTGTTTGACAGTCTCTGATTAAAAAGCTGCCGTTTTGCAGTCGCTGTTTCGCGGTTGCTGTTTGATAGTCTCTGATTAAAAAGCTGCCGTTTTGCAGTCGCTGTTTCGCGGTTGCTGTTTGAGAGTCTCTGATTAAAAAGCTGCCGTTTTGCGCTTTCGCGTCGCTGTTTCTGCGGTCGCTGTTTGAGTCGCTCTGATTGTTGATCTGCTTAAAATCTGTCGTTTGCGGTCGCTGTTTCGCGGTTGCTGTTTGACAGTCTCTGATTAAAATGCCGTTTTGCAGTCGCTGTTTCGCGGTCGCTGTTTGACAGTCTCTGATTAAAGCTACTGTTTTGCAGTCGCTGTTTCGCGGTCGTTGTTTGACAGTCTTCCGATTAAAATCTGCCGTTTTGCAGTTTCGCGGTTGCTGTTTGATGTCTCTGTTAAAATTGTTTTGCCGTTTTGCAGTCGCTGTTTGCGGTCGCTGTTTGATTTTCTGATTAAAATCTGCCGTTTTGCAGTCGCTGTTTCGCGGTTGCTGTTTGACAGTCTGATTAAAAATTGCCGTTTTGCAGTCGTTTTTCGCGGTCGTTGTTTGAGAGTCTCTGATTAAAGCTGCCGTTTTGCAGTCGCTGTTTCGCGGTCGCTGTTTGAGAGTCTCTGATTAAAAGCTGCCGTTTTGCAGTCGCTGTTTCGCGGTCGCTGTTTGAGAGTCTCTGATTAAAATCTGCCGTTTTGCCGCTGTTTCGCGGGTTGCTGTTTGATAGTCTCTGATTAAATGCTGCCGTTTTCGTCGCTGTTTCGCGGTCGCTGTTTGACAGTCTGATTAAAATCTGCTGTTTTGCAGTCGCTGTTTCGCGGTCGCTGTTTGACAGTCTCTGATTAAAATCTGCTGCCGTTTGCTGTTTGACATCTGTTTCTGCGGTCGCTGTTTTTTTTTGAGAGTCTCTGATTAAAAAGCTGCCGTTTTGCAGTCGCTGTTTCGCGGTCGCTGTTTGAGTCTCTGATTAAATCTGCCGTTTTGCAGTCGCTGTTTCGCGGTTGCTGTTTGACGTCTCTGATTAAAATCTGCCGTTTTGCAGTCGCTGTTTCGTTGTTGTTTGAGAGTCTGATTAAAAGCCGTTTGCAGTCGCTGTTTCGCGCTTGCTGTTTGAGTCTCTGATTAAAAGCTGCCGTTTGCAGTCGCTGTTTCGCGGTCGCTGTTTGAGTCTCTGATTAAAATCTGCCGTTTTGCAGTCGCTGTTTCGCTGTTTTCGCGGTCTCTGTTTGATAGTTTCTGTTTGATCTAAAATCTGCCGTTTTGCAGTCGCTGTTTCGCGGTCGCTGTTTGACAGTCTCTGATTAAAACCTGCCGTTTTGCAGTCGCTGTTTCGCGGTTGCTGTTTGACAGTCTCTGATTAAAATCTGCCGTTTTTCGCAGTCGCTGTTTCGCGGTTTCGCTGTTTGAGAGTCTCTGATTAAAAAGCTGCCGTTTTGCAGTCGCTGTTTCGCGGTCGCTGTTTGACAGTCTCTGATTAAAAGCTGCCGTTTTGCGGTCGCTTTGTTTCGCGGTCGCTGTTTGACAGTCTGATTTTGCAGTCGTCTGCCGTTTTGCAGTCGCTGTTCGCGGTCGCTGTTTGATCGTCTCTGATTAAATGCTGCCGTTTTGCAGTCGCTGTTTCGCGGTCGCTGTTTGAGAGTCTCTGATTAAAATCTGCCGTTTTGCAGTCGCTGTTTCGCGGTCGCTGTTTGACAGTCTCTGATTAAAATCTGCTGTTTTGCAGTCGCTGTTTCGCGGTGCTGTTTGAGTCTGATTAAAATCTGCCGTTTTGCGGTCGCTTTTCGCGGTTGCTGTTTGATAGTCTCTGATTAAAAGCTGCCGTTTTGGCAGTCGCTGTTTCGCGGTCGTTGTTTGACAGTCTCTGATTAAAATCTGCCGTTTTGCAGTCGCTGTTTCGCGGTCGTTGTTTGACAGTCTCTGATTAAAATCTGCCGTTTTGCAGTCGCTGTTTCGCGGTTGCTGTTTGACGGTCTCTGATTAAAATCTGCCGTTTTGCAGTCGCTGTTTCGCGGTTGCTGTTTGACGTCTCTGATTAAAAACTGCCCGTTTGCGCTGTTTCACGGTTGCTGTTTGACAGTCTCTGATTAAAATCTGCTGTTTTGCAGTCGCTGTTTCGCGGTCGTTGTTTGACAGTCTGATTAAAATCTGCCGTTTTGCAGTCGCTGTTTCGCGGTTGCATTTGAGAGTCTCTGATTAAAGCTGCCGTTTTGCAGTCGCTGTTTCGCGGTCGCTGTTTGAGTCTCTGATTAAAAGCTGCCGTTTTGCAGTCGCTGTTTCGCGGTTGCTGTTTGAGAGATTAAAATCTGCCGTTTGCAGTCGCTGTTTCGCGGTCGCTGTTTGAGAGTCTCTGATTAAAAGCTGCCGTTTTGCAGTCGCTGTTTCGCGGTCGCTGTTTGACAGTCTGATTAAAATCTGCCGTTTTTCAGTCGCTGTTTCGCGGTCGCTGTTTGAGAGTCTCTGATTAAAAGATGCCGTTTTGCAGTCGCTGTTTCCCGGTCGCTGTTTGAGAGTCTCTGATTAAATGCTGCCGTTTGCAGTCGCTGTTTTCGCGGTTGCTGTTTGACAGTCTCTGATTAAAAGCTGCCGTTTTGCAGTCGCTGTTTCGCGGTTGCTGTTTGACAGTCTCTGATTAAAATCTGCCGTTTTGCAGTCGCTGTTTCGCGGTCGCTGTTTGATAGTCTCCGATTAAAATCTGCCGTTTTTGCAGTCGCTGTTTCGCGGTCGCTGTTTGAGAGTCTCTGATTAAAATCTGCCGTTTTGCAGTCGCTGTTTCGCGGTCGCTGTTTGAGAGTCTCTGATTAAAAGCTGCCGTTTTGCAGTCGCTGTTTCGCGGTCGCTGTTTGACAGTCTCTGATTAAAAGCTGCCGTTTTGCAGTCGCTGTTTCGCGGTCGCTGTTTGACAGTCTCTGATTAAAATCTGCCGTTTTGCTGTTTCGCGTCGCTGTTTCTCTGATTAAAATGCGCGGTCGCTGTTTGAGAGTCTCTGATTAAAATCTGCCGTTTGCAGTCGCTTGTTCGCGGTCGCTGTTTGAGAGTCTCTATTTAAAAGTGCCGTTTTGCAGTCTGATTTAAATCTGCCGTTTTGCAGTCGCTGTTTCGCGGTTTGCTGTTTGACAGTCTCTGATTAAATATCTGCCGTTTTGCGGTCGCTGTTTCGCGGTCGTTGTTTGACAGTCTCAGTCTGATTAAAATCTGCCGTTTTGCAGTCGCTGTTTCGCGGTCGGTTTGACAGTCTCTGATTAAAATCTGCCGTTTGCTGTTTCGTTTCTGTTTGACAGTCTCTGATTAAAAGCTACCGTTTGCAGTCGCTTTGCGGTTGCTATCGCTGTTTCGCGGTTTGGTAGTCGTTGTTTGACAGTCTTTGATTAAAATCTGCCGTTTTGCAGTCGCTGTTTCGCGGTTGCTGTTTGAGAGTTTCTGATTAAAAGCTGCCGTTTTGCGTCGTCGCTTTGCTGTTTGAGAGTCTCTGATTAAAAGCTGCCGTTTTGCAGTCGTTTTGCGGTCGCTGTTTGAGAGTCTCTGATTAAAAGCTGCCGTTTTTGCAGTCGCTGTTTCGCGGTTGCTGTTTGAGAGTCTCTGATTAAAAGATGCCGTTTTGCAGTCGCTGTTTCGCGGTCGCTGTTTGAGAGTCTCTGTGCCGTTTTGACGCTGTTTCGCGGTCGCATTAACAGTCTGATTAAAATCCCGTTTTGCAGTCGCTGTTTCGCGGTTGCTGTTTGACAGTCTGATTAAAATCTGCCGTTTTTCAGTCGCTGTTTCGCGGTCGCTGTTTGAGAGTCTCTGATTAAAATGCCGTTTTGCAGTCGCTGTTTCGCGGTCGCTGTTTGAGAGTCTCTGATTAAAAAGCTGCCGTTTTGCAGTCGCTGTTTCGCGGTCGTTGTTTGAGAGTCTCTGATTAAAAGCTGCCGTTTTGCAGTCGCTGTTTCCCGGTCGCTGTTTGAGAGTCTCTGATTAAATGCTGCCGTTTTGCCGCTTTTTCGCGGTCGCTGTTAGACAGTCTGATTAAAATCTGCCGTTTTGCGTCGTGTTTCGCGGTTGCTGTTTGACAGTCTCTGATTAAAATCTGCCGTTTTGCAGTCGCTTTTTCGCGGTTGCTGTTTGAGAGACTCTGATTAAAATCTGCCGTTTTGCAGTCGCTGTTTCGCGGTTGCTGTTTGACAGTCTCTGATTAAAAGCTACTGTTTTGCAGTCGCTGTTTCGCGGTCGTTGTTTGACAGTCTGATTAAAATCTGCCGTTTTGCAGTCGCTGTTTCGCGGTCGTTGTTTGACAGTCTGATTAAAAGCTGCCGTTTTGCAGTCGCTGTTTCGCGGTCGCTGTTTGAGAGTTTCTGATTAAAAGCTGCCGTTTTGCAGTCGCTGTTTCGCGGTCGATTAAAGCTGTTTTGCGGTCGCTGTCTCTGATTAAAAGCTGCCGTTTTGCAGTCGCTGCTTTCGCGGTCGCTGTTTGAGAGTCTCTGATTAAAAGATGCCGTTTTGGCAGTCGCTGTTTCGCGGTCGCTGTTTGAGAGTCTCTGATTAAAAAGCTGCCGTTTTGCAGTCGCTGTTTCGCGGTTGCTGTTTGACAGTCTGATCTCTGATTTTCCGCGGTCGCTGTTTGAGAGTCTCTGATTTTTTTGCAGTCGCTGTTTTTCGCGGTCGCTGTTTGAGTCTCTGATTAAAAGCTGCCGTTTTGCAGTCGCTGTTTCGCGGTTGCTGTTTGAGAGTCTCTCTGATTAAAAGCTGCCGTTTTGCAGTCGCTGTTTCGCGGTCGCTGTTTGAGAGTCTCTGATTAAAGATGCCGTTTTGCAGTCGCTGTTTCGCGGTCGATTAAAATCTGTTTGAGAGTCGCTGATTAAAAAGTTGCCGTTTTGCAGTCGCTTAAAATCTTTTTGGCGGTTTTTCGCTGTTTGAGAGTCTCTGATTAAAAATTCGCCGTTTTGCAGTCGCTGTTTCGCGGTCGCTGTTTGAGAGTCTCTGATGATTAAATGCTTTGCCGTTTTGTTTGACAGTCGCTGTTCGCGGTCGTTGTTTGACAGTCTCGATTAAAATCTGCCGTTTTGCAGTCGCTGTTTCGCGGTTGCTGTTTGACAGTCTCTGATTAAAATCTGCCGTTTTGCAGTCGCTTTTTTCGCGGTTGCTGTTTGAGAGACTCTGATTAAAATTCGCCGTTTTGCGGTCGCTGTTTCGCGGTTGCTGTTTGACAGTCTCTGATTAAAAGCTACTGTTTTGCAGTCGCTGTTTCGCGGTCGTTGTTTGACAGTCTGATTAAAATCTGCCGTTTGCAGTCGCTGTTTCGCGGTCGCTGTTTGAGAGTCTCTGATTAAAGCTGCCGTTTTGCAGTCGCTGTTTCGCGGTCGCTGTTTGAGAAAGTCTGATTAAAATCGCTGTTTCGCCGTTTTGCAGTCGCTGTTTCGCGGTTGCTGTTTGAGAGTCTCTGATTAAAATCTGCCGTTTTTTGCGGTCGCTGTTTCGCGGTCGCTGTTTGAGAGTCTCTGATTAAAAGCTGCCGTTTTGCAGTCGCTGTTTCGCGGTTGCTGTTTGACAGTCTCTGATTAAAATTCTGCCGTTTTTGCAGTCGCTGTTTCGCGGTCGCTGTTTGAGAGTCTGATTAAAATTGTTTTTGCAGTCGGTGTTTCGCGGTTTGTTTGACAGTCTCTGATTAAAAGCTACCGTTTTGCAGTCGCTGTTTCGCGGTCGTTGTTTGACAAGTCTGATTAAAATCTGCCGTTTTGCAGTCGCTGTTTCGCGGTTGCTGTTTGACAGTCTGATTAAAAGCTGCCGTTTTGCAGTCGCTGTTTCGCGGTCGCTGTTTGACAGTCTCTGATTAAAATCTGCCGTTTTGCAGTCGCTGTTTCGCGGTTGCTGTTTGACAGTCTCTGATTAAAATCTGCCGTTTTGCAGTCGCTGTTTCGCGGTCGCTGTTTGAGAGTCTCTGATTAAAAGCTGCCGTTTTGCAGTCGCTGTTTCGCGGTCGCTGTTTGAGAGTCTCTGATTAAAAGCTGCCGTTTTGCAGTCGCTGTTTCGCGGTCGCTGTTTGACAGTCTCTGATTAAAATCTGCCGTTTTGCAGTCGCTTTTTCGCGGTTGCTGTTTGAGAGTCTCTGATTAAAAGCTGCCGTTTTGCAGTCGCTGTTTCGCGGTTGCTGTTTGACAGTCTCTGATTAAAAGCTACTGTTTTGCAGTCGCTGTTTCGCGGTCGTTGTTTGACAGTCTGATTAAAATCTGCCGTTTTGCAGTCGCTGTTTCGCGGTTGCTGTTTGAGAGTCTCTGATTAAAAGCTGCCGTTTTGCAGTCGCTGTTTCGCGGTTGCTGTTTGACAGTCTCTGATTAAAAGCTGCCGTTTTGCAGTCGCTGTTTCGCGGTCGTTGTTTGACAGTCTGATTAAAATCTGCCGTTTTGCAGTCGCTGTTTCGCGGTTGCTGTTTGATAGTCTCTGATTAAAAGCTGCCGTTTTGCAGTCGCTGTTTCGCGGTCGCTGTTTGACAGTCTCTGATTAAAAGCTGCCGTTTTGCAGTCGCTGTTTCGCGGTCGCTGTTTGACAGTCTCTGATTAAAAGCTGCCGTTTTGCAGTCGCTGTTTCGCGGTCGCTGTTTGACAGTCTCTGATTAAAATCTGCCGTTTTTGCAGTCGCTGTTTCGCGGTTGCTGTTTGACGTCTCTGATTAAAATCTGCCGTTTTGCAGTCGCTGTTTCGCGGTCGCTGTTTGACAGTCTCTGATTAAAATCTGCCGTTTTGCAGTCGCTTGTTTCGCGGTCGCTGTTTGACAGTCTCTGATTAAAATCTGCCGTTTTGCAGTCGCTGTTCGCTGTTGCTGTTTGATCGCTGTCTGATTTGAAAGTCTGCCGTTTTGCAGTCGCTGTTTTGACAGTCTCTGATTAAAGCGCCGTTTTGCAGTCGCTGTTTGCGGTCGCTGTTTGAGAGTCTCTGATTAAAAATTAAATCTGCCGTTTTGCAGTCGCTGTTTCGCGGTCGCTGTTTGAGAGTCTCTGATTAAAATCTGCCGTTTTGCAGTCGCTGTTTCGCGGTTGCTGTTTGACAGTCTCTGATTAAAAGCTGCCGTTTTGCAGTCGCTGTTTCGCGGTCGCTTTTCGTTTGACAGTCTCTGATTAAAATTTGCCGTTTTGCAGTCGCTGTTTCGCGGTCGCTGTTTGACAGTCTCTGATTAAATCTGCCGTTTTGCAGTCGCTGTTTCGCGGTCGCTGTTTGACAGATCTCTGATTAAAGCTGCCGTTTTGCAGTCGCTGTTTCGCGGTCGCTGTTTGAGAGTCTCTGATTAAAATCTGCCGTTTTGCAGTCGCTGTTTCGCGGTTGCTGTTTGAGAGTTTCTGATTAAAAGCTGCCGTTTTGCAGTCGCTGTTTCGCGGTTGCTGTTTGAGAGTCTCTGATTAAAAGCTGCCGTTTTGCAGTCGCTGCTTGAGAGTCTCTGATTAAAAGCTGCCGTTTTGCAGTCGCTGTTTCGCGGTTGCTGTTTGACAGTCTGATTAAAATGCTGCCGTTTTGCAGTCGCTGTTTCGCGGTTGCTGTTTGACAGTCTCTGATTAAAATCTGCCGTCGTTTTTCGCGGTCGCTGTTTCGCGGTCGCTGTTTTTGAGAGTCTCTGATTAAAAGCTGCCGTTTTGCAGTCGCTGTTTCGCTTGCGGTCGCTTTGTCGCTTTGTTTCGCGGTCGCTGAGTCTCTGATTAAAAGCTGCCGTTTTGCAGTCGCTGTTTCGCGGTCGCTGTTTGACAGTCTCTGATTAAAAATCTGCCGTTTTGCAGTCGCTGTTTCGCGGTCGCTGTTTGACAGTCTCTGATTAAAAGCTGCCGTTTTGCAGTCGCTGTTTCGCGGTCGCTGTTTGAGAGTCTGATTAAAATCTGCCGTTTTGCGGTCGCTGTTTCGCGGTTGCTGTTTGACAGTCTCTGATTAAATCTGCCGTTTTCAGTCGCTGTTTCGCGGTCGCAGTTTGAGAGTCTCTGATTAAAATCTGCCGTTTTGCAGTCGCTGTTTCGCGGTCGCTGTTTGAGAGTCTCTGATTAAAAGCGCTGTTTTCGCGTTTGTTTGAGAGTCTCTGATTAAAAGCTGCCGTTTTGCGTCGCTGTTTCGCGGTCGCTGTTTGAGAGTCTCTGATTAAAATCTGCCGTTTTGCAGTCGCTGTTTTCGCGGTCGCTGTTTGACAGTCTGATTAAAATCTGCCGTTTTGCAGTCGCTGTTTCGCGGTTGCTGTTTGACAGTCTCTGATTAAAATCTGCCGTTTTGCAGTCGCTTTTTCGCGGTTGCTGTTTGAGAGTCTCTGATTAAAATCTGCCGTTTTGCAGTCGCTGTTTTCGCGGTTTGCTGTTTGACGATCTCTGATTAAAAGCTGCTGTTTTGCAGTCGCTGTTTCGCGGTCGTTGTTTGACAGTCTGATTAAAATCTGCCGTTTTGCAGTCGCTGTTTCGCGGTCGTTGTTTGACAGTCTCTGATTAAAAGCTGCCGTTTTGCAGTCGCTGTTTCGCGGTCGCTGTTTGAGAGTCTCTGATTAAAAGCTGCCGTTTTGCAGTCGCTGTTTCCGCGGTTGCTGTTTGAGTCTCTGATTAAAAGCTGCCGTTTTGCAGTCGCTTTTCGCGGTCGCTGTTTGAGAGTCTTTGATTAAAATCTGCCGTTTTGCAGTCGCTGTTTCGCGGTCGCTTTTGACAGTCTCTGATTGCGCTCTGATTTGCAGTCGCCGGTTTTGCGATCTGATTAAAATCGTCTGTTTCGCGGTTGCAAATCTGATTAAAATCTGCCGTTTTGCAGTCGCTGTTTCGCGGTCGCTGTTTGACAGTCTCTGATTAAAATCTGCCGTTTTGCAGTCGCTGTTTCGCGGTTGCTGTTTGACAGTCTCTGATTAAATGCTGCCGTTTTGCAGTCGCTGTTTCGCGGTCGCTGTTTGAGAGTCTCTGATTAAAAGCTGCCGTTTTGCAATCGCTGTTTCGCGGTCGTTGTTTGACAGTCTGATTAAAATCTGCCGTTTTGCAGTCGCTGTTTTGCGGTTGCTGTTTGAGAGTCTCTGATTAAAATCTGCCGTTTTGCAGTCGCTGTTTTGCGGTTGCTGTTTGACAGTCTCTGATTAAAAGCTACTGTTTTGCAGTCGCTGTTTCGCGGTCGTTGTTTGACAGTCTGATTAAAATCTGCCGTTTTGCAGTCGCTGTTTCGCGGTTGCAGTTTGAGAGTCTCTGATTAAAAGCTGCCGTTTTGCAGTCGCTGTTTCGCGGTCGCTGTTTGAGAGTCTCTGATTAAAAGCTGCCGTTTTGCAGTCGCTGTTTCGCGGTCGCTGTTTGAGAGTCTCTGATTAAAAGCTGCCGTTTTGCAATCGCTGTTTTTGCGGTCGCTGTTTGACAGTCTCGATTAAAAGCTACTGCCGTTTTTCGCAGTTGTTTGACAGTCGCTGTTTCGCGGTTGCTGTTTGACAGTCTCTGATTAAAATCTGCCGTTTTGCAGTCGCTGTTTTCGCGGTTGACGTTTCAGAATCTCTGATTAAAAGCTGCCGTTTTGCAGTCGCTGTTTCGCGGTCGCTGTTTGACAGTCTCTGATTAAAAGCTGCCGTTTTGCAATCGCTGTTTCGCGGTCGCTGTTTGACAGTCTCTGATTAAAATCTGCCGTTTTGCAGTCGCTGTTTCGCGGTCGCTGTTTGACAGTCTGATTAAAATCTACCGTTTTGCAGTCGCTGTTTCGCGGTCGCTGTTTTAGAGTCTCTGATTAAAAGCTGCCGTTTTGCAGTCGCTGTTTCTCGGTTGCTGTTTGACAGTCTCTGATTAAAATCTGCCGTTTTGCAGTCGCTGTTTCGCGGTTGCTGTTTGACAGTCTCTGATTAAATGCTGCCGTTTTGCAGTCGCTGTTTCGCGGTTGCTGTTTGACAGTCTCTGATTAAAAGCTGCCGTTTTGCAGTCGCTGTTTCGCGGTCGTTGTTTGACAGTCTGATTATAATCTGCCGTTTTGCAGTCGCTGTTTCGCGGTTGTTGTTTGATAGTCTGATTAAAATCTGCCGTTTTTGTTCGCTGTTTCGCGGATCGCTGTTTCACAGTCTCTGATTAAAAGCTGCCGTTTTGCAGTCGTTGTTTCGCGGTCGCTGTTTGAGAGTCTCTGATTAAATGCTGCCGTTTTGTTGTCGCTGTTTCGCGGTCGCTGTTTGAGAGTCTCTGATTAAAGCTGCCGTTTTGCAGTCGCTGTTTCGCGGTCGCTGTTTGACAGTCTGATTAAAATCTGCCGTTTTGCAGTCGCTGTTTCGCGGTTGCTGTTTGACAGTCTCTGATTAAAATCTGCCGTTTTGCAGTTGCTTTTTCGCGGTTGCTGTTTGAGAGTCTCTGATTAAAAGCTGCCGTTTTGCAGTCGCTGTTTCGCGGTCGCTGTTTGAGAGTCTCTGATTAAAAGCTGCCGTTTTGCAGTCGCTGTTTCGCGGTCGCTGTTTGAGAGTCTCTGATTAAAAGCTGCCGTTTTGCAGTCGCTGTTTCGCGGTCGCTGTTTGAGAGTCTCTGATTAAAAGCTGCCGTTTTGCAGTCGCTGTTTCGCGGTCGCTGTTTGACAGTCTGATTAAAATCTGCCGTTTTGCAGTCACTGTTTCGCGGTTGCTGTTTGACAGTCTCTGATTAAAAGCTGCCGTTTTGCAGTGGCTGTTTCGCGGTCGCTGTTTGAGAGTCTCTGATTAAAAGCTGCCGTTTTGCAGTCGCTGTTTCGCGGTCGCTGTTTGACAGTCTCTGATTAAAAGCTGCCGTTTTGCAGTCGCTGTTTAAAAGTTGCCGTTTGGAAGTAACAGTTTTGTAGTAATACTATTTCACAGTCGCTGTTTAAAAATCCCCGTTTTGCAGTCAACTCTTCGCAGTCGTTGAGCGATTGTTGCCGTTTTATAGTCAACTTTCTATAAAATTAAGAATTAGAATTCCACTCAAGTTGGTTAATGTTACCTTTTAATATTACCTGCGTTCAAATTCCCTTATGAAAGATGCTAATCTATCTTATCTCCTCCCAGCTATGGGTTAAATAACAGACCTTGTATCTGGAAACAATCGCTGTTATCTCAAACAAATGTTAATACAACATTCACTTCCAGGAATTAATTATTCTTACAATCCAAAAGATGAATCTTATTTTATATTGATCGGAACATAATGTCCGATTTTAGATTAAGCCTCTTAATTTTCTTCTAAAATATTATTGTAATAGTTGAACAAAATGAAGGGTGTTCCAGTAACGTGGACACATTTTAAATGTGAATAAATTTTAAGCGTCTCATGATTTTTTTTTTCTTTTACTTTCAGATTTAAAACGTAAGTCTTTGGCAATTTCACCTATGGAAAGATTAACAACGTGTTAAAATTTCAAGATCGCAATTGCAAAAAAAATTCTTTGTAAATTCAAACAAACTGGGTCAGTAGCAGTTGTGAAAACACTACTTACGCCGTTCAGCTGAAAACATTGCTGCAGTGCACGAGAATGTGGCCCCAAATCCAGACCCCTCTATTCGTCATCGCGCGGAGGAATTGAACTTCTCCATGACAACGTTACATCGTTTCCAGTTGCACTCTAGGTGGGTCGATTATGTTGACCAAAAATCGCGAACTGTCCGAAATGCATTTCTGTTTGAGCGTCCATTTTCGTAATAGGCTTTCATAACTTTAAAACTTTGTTTGATTGTTAATCTTTCCAGGGTTGAAATTTCCAAAGACTTAAGTTGTTAAATCGGAAAGAAAAAAAAAAATCATAAGACGCTTACATAAAAATCAGTTATTGAAACACCCTTTAAAATCGCTATTATATATATATATATATATATATATATATATATATATATATATATATATAAAATCTACCTGTATATTTGATTAAGTAGATATTCAAGTTTTCTATATAATGTTTTAATTTTAAACGTATTCAACATTCCGAATAAGCATAAAATATAATTTTTAAACCATTAGTAATTCATAAGAAATTGCTTTATTTTGAGCAGATAAGATGTTTTACTAAGCGTAGCATGGATGTGGCTGAAGGCTGAATGCCGAAAATATAGAGAACGTAGTAAGGATCGAACTCACTAATCATTAGTAATTGATCTAGCGCCGTAAGCTTGCTCAGTATTACATAAATTATTGGTGAATATCTATGTGTTTTTCTATTGCATCATGTTATTTAAGTCATGGTAATTATGAGTGAAAAATAATATTGCCCAAATGTCCGCCAAGACTTCAGTGGCACACCTCAAATCGATGGTCAAAATTTTTGATGACGTCTCTGCATAGTTGCTTCTCGATCCACCAATATGCCTTATTATCTCCTCCTTCAGCGGTTGAATTGTTGTTGGCTTGTTGGCATAGACCTTACTTTTTAGGTTACCTCAAAGAAAGAAATCTAAAGGCGTCATGTCGCACGCTCATGGTGGCCAATTGACTTCGCTGTTTCGAAAGATGATGCGACCTGGGAACTTATCATTCAATTTCTGTTTCAATGTCCATTTTCGTAAAAGGCTTCGATAAGTTTAACACGTTGTTTGATTGTTAATCTTTCCATATCTGAAATTGCCAGTGACTTAAGTTCTTAAATCTGAAAGAAAAAGAAAAAAAAATTAGACGCTTAAATTTCATTCACATTTAAAATCGGTTCAAATTATTGGAACACCCTTTACTTCCCCTTTTAATGGCAAATGTTCCGTTTTTCTTTAATAACGCGTCTTTGTTATAGAATAATAGTATTTTCCGAGAGATTTTAATGATTTTTATTTCGATTGTGTTTATTTTCATTTCTTCTTGAACTAAGGAGCTGGTCTTCTCCAGCATGGTTAAAAATATATTCTATCTAGCTGTATAAATTCGGCAGCGTGCAAGACAAGGTGATTGGAATTTCAACATGAAGTCTTTATTTCGTCCACCGGGGTACATTGTTCCAGTTCAACATGCCATGCCTATTCCGGGTGTCTCGGTTATCTCCATTTAACTCAACTCGATTTTTTTTTTTAGGTTCTTGTTCGCCACGGGCGTAGTCAGGTAATGAACTCACAACTCTTTGGGTCAAGTCATTGGATCCAACCAACGCTTTTATCTACTGGTCCTTTTGTTCTTGAGGACGACTTTTGCATCATGACATGTTGTCAGTTTGATACTGCAAGAAATTCACCGTCTTGGAAACTTTGTCACATCCACCATAATCCGCTTATCTCTCGCTGAGTGGCTACCAATTTTTCAAGAATTTTGGCAATGTTTAAGCCAAGAGACATTCCGTTGCAAAGAAGGCTCCAAGGTGTCTTGAAAGTTTTATCGTCAAAACAATAATAACCATGTAATTCAATGGTAAGCATTTATATATATATATATATATATATATATATATATATATATATATTTATATTTTCACAACATCGCCCACGTGACGACGACGTGATCATATTTAAACGGAACGATGATCGTATAAAAGATTTCAGTTATCTGTTTGGATTGGTCTTGCTCTTATGTCCATCGTCTTTTTCATGTTTAATTGAATATGGTCTAATGTTAATTATGTTTTATGAATATGTCCTGAAGATAGTCTATTAGACCGAAACGTCCGACGTTGACATTATATGAACATTAAAACAGCATAATTGCATATTAGGATTTTTGTTTGTTTTTTCCGTATATTTTTCTTCATACTGTCCGATATATGTCCATATATTTGCTTACATATACATACATACATACATACATATATATATATATATATATATATATAGCTGACCACTCGTATCCGAAGATACTCGTCTAATAGGGCGGTAGTCAATCCCTATTGCATGCGCATTTTGTTTATTCAACCCCCACGTGTCGTTTATATTGCAACTAGTCTGAGCAGACCTTAGAGTTTCTGTAAAAGAGCGTGTTATCTACAGTGAACAAGGACAAAGCACTGAAGTCCTCGACCACGATGACTTATGACTTCGTGCTAGCACAGCTATGGATGGCCCTCGAATCTTACGTCTACCCAATTTCACATGTCTTGGAATGGTTTTCAGGCAATTTCTAAAGTTGCCGCACACTGGAATCGATCCCTCCAGTCCGATAGATCTTCTTCCTGGCAAGTCGACCATAGTGAGATTCGAACCCGGCTCTCATGGTCAGAATGCCAATGTTCTAACCACTCGACCACATGCCCATTTGTATATGTACAGGGTTCCTATTATGGATGTTTATATACATTAATTAAGAAATGAACAGTCTACTATTTACCTTGTTTGTACTGACCTTATTGACCTGCTGAAACACAGGGGTTATACATATATATAAAGTACAGAGTATGCAAGTGAGTGTTCAAGCAACTCCTCCTCTTCCACATGTCTGATTTCAATGATTCAGAGCTCATTCAAAAGCCCCCCAAAAGTTATGTACAGGGATTGCTCAGATTATGCAAAGTTAAAAATACATATTAATATATTATACTAGCCATTATCGTTGCTTTCAAGGGGAGTAACTCTTATTTTCTATTTGTATACAAATTGGCAGTTAGCTTAAAATTTTAAGCTAGGTTTTCATGCGGCATTTAAGTTAGCTCTTGTGGAGCACTCTTGTTACAAAATCCAGGAAGAGTAGCTGGGATAGGCGGTAATAAACTACAAAAGTATTCAAAATTGATCGCTCCACTTAAGTATTGAAGTAATGTTTATGCTTACCTTTTAAACGTTCAACGATAATTCTTCTGCTGCCACTTAATTTAAAGATGATTTGATGTATGTAGATCCTTATTTTCTGTACAAACAATTGCTTTTATTTCATGGGTGACAGAACCGTGGACAATTTATAGGATAATATTAATATAGTGTAAAGATGGAAAAACATTTGAATAGTGAGAGAAACAAATAGCTAATTAAGTAAAATCTATATTATGGAATCTCTATGAATAAATGCGAAATTGCAACTCAGTTCGCCCACTAATTCTGAAATTAAAAAGCCGCACCTCTACTTTATATTAATTTGGACACTGTATTTACTCCTTCACTCCATTAGGACGCGATGTGACACAAGGTTTTCTTTTTAGGTGGGGACCCGTGCGCGTACGCCCGGGGCAAAAACAAAAATTACCCTCAGCCCCTGCCCCGATGCAATGGGAGGGCGCGGCCTCTGGCAGTCGTTATCTCTCTGTCCTTTGACAGAGAAGCCCCTGTGCGCTCTCTGTCCTTTGACAGAAAACCCCTGTGTGCAATCTGTCCAAGGACAGCGATGCAAATGAGAGATGATAAGCCATGCGTTAGAAATTTCATCCAAGTAGGAATTTGAATTTACTTGCCCCCCCAACTGAGTCAGGTTGTGACACAAGGTCAGTTTTTAACGTGGTGACCCGAGTGTTTTCACTCTGGGCTCTGGTCTAAGCTGGTCCAAGCTAGTCATGGCTTGTCATAGCTGGTCTTTGCTGGTCCAAGCTCGTCGTAGCCATACCACCAGTACCTGGGGCAGGTAAGGATCCGAATGTGTACACCCCTCCAAGGAGGAATTTTGCACGGTATTTACTTCAACCCCACTGAGTCAGTTTGTGACACAAGGTCAGTTTTTAATGTGGGGACCCGAGTGTTTTCACTCGGGCCGCTGGTAGAAACTGATCTTAGCTGGTCATAGCTAGTCCAAGCTGGTCAGAGCCGGTCCAAGCTAGTCATAGCAGAGGGAAGGAGCCCAGTGACCGGTAAGTGTCCGAGCGCGCACACCCCTCCAAGAAGTAATTTGCACGCTAAAATATCAATATCTGTATTATATATTATCTAATTCTAGGCAATATCACTCTTCAGGTTCAACTAATTTGAATATTTATTTTACAAAAGTTTGTTTCATTAATTAACTCTCCTTCATTACTGTTCTTTAATACCTGGATTGTTTTAATTTTTCATATCAAAAATTGTTCCGTTTGGGAATATCGTCTTATATAGTGCAGAAAAGTGTTTGAAATTTGCATTTTACAAGTTGGCATCCCTTTGTAAAACTTTCCTTAAATATAATAAGCCAATTCATGAGTGAAATGTTCATTTAAAATTTTTGTTTGAAAGATTTCAAGTAGTGAATATATCTTACTTTGCGAAGCGATAGCGAGCGGGTGAACCCTGCTAGTACTAGATAAATTTAATAAGTGGCGCCATCATACATTGACGTCATTGTAATGTGTAAATGAGTATCACTTGTGGTCTGGCGATGTGATTTATCAGATTTTGAACGATGTATGGTAATGGATGTCAGACGGATGGATCAATTTATATTTTGTGTTGTCTGGGGACATTTCACATCGTTCGATATACCTGACAGAACACATTGTCACCCTTAATAATTGTGTGCAAATGTGTCTGTCTCGATTTTTTTTTCGGCAGCAGATAAGCAACACTGGTCAGATTATCCTTCAGTACCGATGGCATCAAAAACAGTTCAGTATTCTTTATCTTACGCGAGATAGGAGAACAGAAAACAAAATCAGGTTGTCCAGACATCGCTAACAGGACACCAGAAGAGGAATATCTAGAAGGCATGTCTAAATATTTTCCACATGTCACTCGAACCCTTGTAGAATCGATGTAACGTCGACATACTGCCCTACACTTGGCGATACGAAACTAATATCTCTGACATGCCGTTGAAAACGTCAGAGTTTAAATTTACTTCTATACGAGATGCGTTCAAAAAGCATCAGATCTTTGGGTAAAAGAATTATCAAGTTTTTACATTTCACCTTCAAGATATTCCCCTTAGAATTTCGCAAACTTCTACCACTGCAGGCAACACATAATGGAACGCCATCACTGGCATTATTGAGCTACGTCTTCATTTTCTCATAAATTCTTAGTTCCCTCTCAGAATGTTTTTTTTTTTTCAGATTGTAGATGGGTCAGAAGTCACACTGTGCCAAGTCTGGGGGGTAAGGAGCCACTCGTACAAATAGTGTGTTGTCTTGACTAGAAAAAAAAAACTTGGTTTATGTGGGCGGAACGAAGCGGCGAATTTCGCCGACCCATCATCCGCTAAAATGCATACATCCTACGCTAAAATGCATACATCATCCGCTAAAAGGCATACATTCTACGCTAAAATGCATACATCCTCCGCTAAAATGCATACATCCTCCGTTAACATGCAGAAATCATCCGCTGAAATGCATACATCCTCTGCTAAAATGCATACATCCTCCGCTAAAATGCATACATCCTCCGTTAACATGCAGAAATCATCCGCTGAAATGCATACATCCCCTGCTAAAATGCAGAAATCATCCACTAAAATGCATACATCCTCTGCTAAAATGCATAGATCATCCGCTAAAATGCTACTTCCTGAGCAATATCCAAAATTGTTACATAATGGTCTTCCATGAATATACACCGAATCTTCTCAATAGACTATTCCTTTCGGTTTGTGAATAGCTTGTCTGAGCGTACCTCGCTCTCCAAGGAGGTGCGGCCATATTTGAAGCGGTTGTACTACTCCTTTATCTGAGTTCTCCCCATGGGATCATCACCAAACTCTTGCTGAATCTTCTAGATGGTTTGAGCTTAAGTATTATGCTTTCAGAAAAACATGATGCAATATCTCTGCTCGATGCGTTCGGTAATCCTGCGGGAAAAGGAAAATCTTACTAGCGTGGACTACACGCCTGTACTCTATGCGTAACACCAAAGAGCTGACGCGTCAGACCGCTGCAAAACTTTTCACACGTGCGCTGGAAAGGTAGCGTAACCGACAACCAAAATTATTTTAGCTACACACCGTTGGTTTTGGCGGGGAAAAAGAAAGTCGGATACATTTTGAACGTACCTCGTAGTTTGGGATTGTACAGGGTGTCCCAAAAAATTTAACGTAATTTCAAAAGCAATTATCTTAAAACTAAGTCTAGCTCAATGAAACTGACCAGTTTAGGTGTTTATTATGGGACCGATTTTATAAGTGTTCCATCTGTGCACCGCCTGTTACACGGCACTCGTCAAGTCAGTAGTTAAGCTCTTCCCAAACTTGTTGTAGCATGTCTCTGGTAACATTATCCAGTGCGGAAGTGATTCTCTTCTTGTGTTCGTCGATGCTAAGAGGGTGGGGAATAGACCAGCATCTTCATATATTCCAATAAAAAGAAATTACACGGAGACAGTTCTGATGAAGGTGGCGGCCATTTCATCAGAAAACTGTCTTTGTCTCCAGGACGCTCGATCCATCTATCTGGCAGATTCTCCTTGAGATAACAAAAAGAAGACACTAAATATAAAATCTTGATCTGTTTCTGTACATTCTGTGAAAATTTGACGTTATTTCAACACCAACAAGAATTGCCAAAATTATTGGCCTGCGAGATGATGTCAATTTTTTGGGGCATATATATATATATATATATATATATATATATATATATATATATATATATATATATATATCTGAAGAATATATAGAAAATAGGAAAGAACTCGTACGGTAAATAATCCAAAGTTCTTTAATATTTTTGTTATTATTTTTAAAAAATAGTGCTCGATACAAAAGTAGAGCATAAATATAATTATTTATTTAAAAATATGATTCCAACACGCTACATAAGAGTTCTCATGTTTCAAAACAAGAACCGAAAACTTCAATATAATTATTAGAATTAAATTGAATTAAATTACTAAGCTCTGTTCCATCTTCAAGCGAAATTATTTTTGGAATAACTTATTTCTGAAATTTACGTGTTTTATAAGCATATTCATTATTAAAATCAAAATTTCTGTGGTAATGGCTAGAGCAATCGTCCACAGAAAAAGGGGCGAAAAGTGTTAGTAATTTGTATCAATATCTCGGTTTCATTCACAGATGTCAAATCAGGGTAAGGTTAGGGTGTCTAAATTTAAAGCGGAAGAAGACATCGCATAGTCTGGTTAAGCGTCTATGGAGATTTTTTATTTTTTTAATTTTATTTTTTATTTATTCTGAAAGGGTTTTGTGCATATAAAAACTGTCGTAAATCGCTAACATTTATTTTTTGACGCCTTCATAAAGGGTTATCATTTATGGTAGGGCATTTAACCTATTTATTATGAGTATGGATTTTAAAAATTATTTTATTATTTGTTTGTTTTTATGCTAATTATTCAATGCAAAAATTTGATGATATCGGCAAAAAACCGTTAACTCATGTCTATTGTTTAATAGATTTTTATTATTTAGAAACTTAATAATGTGTAATTTTTCATGTAGGCATAAAGGGCATGGGTCATCCCAGGTTTTACAGGTTCTTGTTTTATTTATTATTTTCCATTTTACTTTTGGTGTTTTATTCGTTTCTTTTAGATGCGAGAAATATTGGGATAGAGATGTCTGATTTCTGTGTGTGGGTGGCTACATGTGTATTTTATCTGCCGTTTTGGATAATGATATGTATTAAGAACGGAATTTATACATGTGTGTCTGTGACTCTTGATGTGTGTGTGTGAGAGTGTCTGTCTGCGTCTCTTGATATGTATCTGTGCGTGTGTCCGTGTTCTTCTCAGCAGACGACACTTTTACTAATTTATTAATGGACGCCATTTCCATAACTGCCTAATTTGTTTCATGCAAATTTTCATTCTTAAATATCCCTACGAATCTATATGCAACATTGCCTGTTGGATTTCGCTTTTTAATTAATTGAAAAAAGAATTCAAATAATTACGAAAAGATATGTCGCCTAACTTCAAATGTCTGCACTTGTATTCGCTTTTACTCATTTCTTATTAGTATATTTTCAGCGCTATTTGAAGCGACAGGAAGATGTGGAAAACAATGTTCGCCATGGCTTGAACGAAAATGGAACAAAAAAGAATAAGTTTTCTAAAAGAGGCAGAGTGGCAGGTTAGTGCAACATAGAATGCCGCAAAAACAATGAAATAACTCAGTTTGATTTTTCGAAACTGGACAAATTGAAGCTTAATGAATTTGGGAAAACGGTAAATGGTTTGCGTGGCGTTATAAATAAGGATCGTAAAAGAGCAAGAATTACTTTCAGCAACAGAAAGTTTTGGAGAACGCTAATAGACAATGGTAGAAGAGACATGGTACGTACAGAGACCGAGACACATCATCCTAAAATGCAGTCTCTCTATTTTGCTTTTATACTCTAGGGATACAGAAAGTAATTATGTTTTGGCGAAGATAATTTATATGGGCCACACGATATAGTGACGAAAGCGGTAGTCAAATTCAGTTCGTTTTACAGCATCAAATCCAAATGTTGCATTTTTTAGCATGTTTTTTTTGCAGTTTACAAATCCATGGTGCCGTTTCTCTTTAAGTATAAAAATATATAAATCTACAAATCATTTTGTCGATTTATATATTTTTGAATTTGAAAAAAATTGTTTAAATGTAACTTGACAGAGATTCATTCTGTTGAAATATTGTTTAACATTGTCAAACACTGTTTTTTTTTGTTTTGTTTATCTTTTCTTAAATCGCGCGAATCACATAACTGTTAATAATAATAATAATAATAATAATAATGAAGATAATAGTGATGATGATAATAATAATAGTAATTGTATCAAAATAGTATTATTAATAATAATAATGATAATAATTATACTAATAGTGATAATGATAGTAATATGGATAATAATAATAATAATAATAATAATAAAACAATTTCAAAAGACGAAAATGTTAAAAATCAATAATAAGTCGAAAGAACATGGAATATGTGGAATAATATATAACAGAACCTTTGCTAGTTTATACTAAAAAAACATGGCCATATGAGGTGTCCTTTCAGAACGTGTCCAATCATGGCTCTCCACAACTTGTCTTCCTTTGTAGTTTCGATATTATCGCTTTTCATCATCTCACACACACACCGATTTGCTGCTAACCATTTACACAAACAATTCAGGCATGTTCTGTACTTCTTCCCTTCACGATCTCCTCTCAGTGTGAGATTCTCCAAGATCTCTTTTTTCAAATTTTATGGCTTAAGCGTCTTTTTTGTTTATGGTATCCTTAAAAATTCCCCGTTACTCACATTTTCATTTCATGTTATTCTCAACATTCTTCTGTAGAACCACGTCACTGTTCCCGTAATATCTATTCTAATTTTGTGAGATTTTCCATTATTCGCTACCAGAGAAGATGAGCATCCAGGGGGATTGAACTCACTATTTAAAAATCGCTCTCAATCGTCTGAAAGAAGATTCTCCGCCTTCCATCAGTATGGCTGATGCTAACTATATGAGAGTGACTCGTTGCGCTTTCTGGGGCTAATATTCTCGGATGATATGAAGTGCAACGACTACATTGAATGCATTGTTATAATCAACTGCTAAGAAAATCGGTTCACTATATTGAGTAAGACAAATTTTCTCTCCAGAATCTATCTTTCATATTTATGTCTAACTTTCGCCCATGCTTAAAATATTGCCGTCATGTATGGTTTGTTTTTTCCTGATAAAATCCAAAGAAGAATCAGCAATATTATTGGTCCTGACCTGGCATCTCAGTCAGTTTCTCACAGACGTAAAGTTGTTTCCCTGTGCCTTTTCTATAA